CCAGGTTTCCCCACTGCTTCTGCACTGTGTTGCGGAAGAAAGGGGGGCAGGGAACATGCTTTTGTGGCACCACCAGCTCAGCATACAGTAGATTGGGGTCCTTGGATGTAGAAGATGTTGGCTGGGCGTCCTGTTCTGGGGTGAGGTTGTCTGCCGTAAGGCCTTGAGAGGTAATGAACTGAAGAGGGATTGATCAAAAAGGCCAGCGGGGAGAGTTGGATCCAATGGTGGGACGTCCTCATCATCCGACAGGATCAGCCCTGAAGTGTCGAATTCCGCAGAATCTGACTCCAAAGAAACCTCCTGGGTGTAGTCTGGCGTTCCTTGAAGGAATGGTCGAGGAGGTGCTGTGGATGGGCCTTGTTGAGGACATTGGCAGACTGATGAGGCCATCAACTGGGCGAAGGCCTGAGTCATCATAGCCTGAAACTGGTCAGGCCATACTGCCTGTGGTTCATGGGGCGGAGCCCTGCTCAGTAGGTGTAAAGGTAGCCTGCGGCCCAGATAGGAACATGCCTTGGACCGCACCCCTTTGGGCTTCTAGGTCTATCCCTGAGGCAACGGGTCCTACCTGTGTTGCCTCCCTTGGGGGAGACCAAGCTTCTGGGGCCAAATTACAAGGGACTGACTGGGGCTCAAATAACGAACCTCCAGGTGGAGTAGCATTATGCGCTTGACCTGAAGTCAAGTTCCTTGTCCTGGAAATTTCTCCCTCTAAGCTCTTCTGACACATGTTGCCCTCTTTGTCAGCTATTTTAGGCTTTTTAGAGGACTGAGCCCTGGCCTTTGCTGTGATCTTCCCCACAACCTCCAGAGAGGAGAGCTTGTGTTTCCTTGTGGTGGGGGAGTCAGTACTGTCTTGTGAAGTCTGGGGAAGGGAATTGTCTGCCATGTTAACTGCACAATTCCCCTTCAAATATTATTCTTGGATAAGGATCCCCCTACCTACTGCTTCCAGTGAAGTCTGAAAGCACAGGCCCCCTTGACAGGTCCAATTTCAGTGTTGTAGTGCCCCCCTAATGCTATAAGTAGCCCCTGAAGGAGCCACCACCCTCAAGGACAGCGGTTCTCAACCTGTGGGTCACAACCCCTTTGGGGGGTCGAACGACCCTTTCACAGGGGTCGCCTAAGACCATTGGAAAACACATATTTCCGATGGTCTTAGAAACTTAGTCTAGGATGCGCGACGGTGTTCTTTTGCATCTCAACGGCTGCATCCACCTCGGGATCGGGGAATGGCTTTAAGTTTAAAGGCTCTCCATGCGGTCCCGGATGTCCTTTGGCTGAATCAAACAGGAACGCTTTTTCCAGGGAAGCCTTTTCACAGCCAAGCTGGTCTCTCCTCGTATTCTGCGGAGGAGAATGTGACATTGCTTGGCTTGGTCCCACAAACCACGGAAGGTCGGCTTAGTCCAAATGCTTCCCGGATGCAGGAAGGCACCGAGTGGTAATAACCGGAGTTGGAAACTTCCTCCGCTGCCCCGATCGCTAGTTCTGGTGGGCTCAGTGGGAATCACCTGCGCTAGATAGGAATGGCACGTCTGGGGGGGGAGTAGAGAGCCCCGGATTCCGTGAGGGCCCAGCAGAACCAAGCGGAAGGGAAAGCCATTGATTTTCATTCAGCCAGGCCCGGAGTTCTCTGAAGGATGTTCGATTTCATTCTGGCTCGGGGAAGCATCGCTCCCTCAGGGGGATCGTGATTTCCGGCAAGCGGCCAGTTATCGAAGCTCGGCTTCTTCCTATCCCCTTACCGCCCTGTGCGTGCATCCCCCCCCAACTCTGAGTCCCCTCCTCTCTTCCATCTTTTACTTCTTGCCCTGCAGTGCGATTGGTGCCCTTTGCTTTTCCTCAACGGCTAAAGACAACTTTGCTCACCAGAGCTTTTTCCTCTTTCCACGGCAGCTGATTTCCCCCCCCTTGTCCTCTCCTCCTCTGAGATCCCTGCAGCCCTCCGTAAGACAGCACATACTTTTTAATTCCTGCTGCTCAATCCCTCCTCCTCCCCCCCTTGATGTCTTCCTACTTGTGGGATGCAGGGGAAGGGAGTGCCAGGTGGGAGAAGGAAAACTGGTCCAGGCAGTGAAAAGGGAAGAGATCAAAGGGGGAGGGGCTTTGGAGATTAAAGCTGCTTGGGAGGATGTTTTGGTCTGCAGCATGTGTTTCCCTTTCCCCTCCTGCCTGCCTTTTCTTGGTTTCCTAGTGTGCCTCTGGAAAGCCGGGAAGGGGGGGGGGCAAAATGAATCTGTTCCTAGTGTGGAATCAAAAAGCTCCAAGGGGCCTTTTCTTGCAGTTGCTGCAGTAATGCCCCCCATTCTTCCTGCCCTGGCTGTTGCTCCAAAAGCAGTTGATTATTGCTCAGTGGAACCAGCTGTGGGGTGGGAGGAAGGAATGGATTTCCCTTCTGCTGCCTCTGTCTCAATGGACAAGACCTCCTTCCAAAAATCTCTCCTAAGATTCTGGCAGGCACAGCTCCAGAACTGAGCTATGCTGGCTCAGGAATTCTGGGAGTTGAAGTCCACGAGTCATAAAAGAGCCAAGGTTTCCCTTCTGCCTTCTTCAGAGAGAGAAGCTCTGAAAGTCATTAGGATCAATTGTCCTGGAAGGACAGGGGTCCTTTTCCACACCCTCAGTGAATTTCAGCTGGAGGTAGAAAAACAGGCAGTGGCTCAGGCTGAAGAGGCAAATTGTGTGGGCCACATCACACACATGGACAACAAATGTCTACAAATATAGCTCCCCTTGAGAATCACCTCAACTAATCCTTATTTTCTCCCCCCCATAAGCACCCCCCCTCATACACAATCATATTAATTTTTCACAGGTCATGCTTAACCTAATCAGGCAACTTCAAGGGCTCATTTAAAGAAGAGAAAAGATCAGGTCTCCCTTCAGACCCATAAATGGAGCAGCTGAAGGTGTGATTCGGCACCCATGCTTCAAGACAAAATTTCATTTATTTGTAATTAGAAATAAATATTTCACAATATATAATTACATATTGTTTTTGTGATTAATCACTATGCTTTAATTATGTTCAATTTGTAACAATGAAAATACATCCTGCATATCAGATAGCTACATTATGATTCATAACAGTAGCAAAATTGCAGTTATGAAGTAGCAACGAAAATAATTTTATGGTTGGGGGTCACCACAACATGAGGAACTGTATTAAAGGGTCACGGCATTAGGAAGGTTGAGAACCACTGCTCTAGGAATACCCAATCCCAAGGGATAGTGAAGAATTGGATGAGGCGGGAGGTGGTGGGGGTAGAGTGGTGAGGCAATGCGTCCTTGTAGGGATGAGCTTGCCCTCCCCAAGTACCGAGCAAAATGCCAAGGCAGTAAAATGAAGAAAAAGATGATCCCCAGTAGGCGCGGCTATCAAAATGGCGGTCGCGATTCAAGCACGCCAAAAGCAACTGTTACTGGGGCTGAGGCTGGGATAAGCCTAGCTGAGCCTTGCCCAAAATGGCAGCCGCGCCTCACTTGTGACAAAGTAGGCCATCAGGGGAACCCCTGAAGCTGCAAGAGTCAAAATGGCGGCCGCGCGGTTTCACGCCTAGAAACGTTACCTGAATTGCCTGGAATTTTGCCCTGATTGCTGATCTGCGCTCCGCGCTGATCAGCTGGCTGGCACTCCCGTGGAGACCTCCGGATAGCTTTCTCCTTACTGTGTCCCAGCCGGGTCAGTAAAGTCAAGAAATTTAATTTGGGAAGGTGTCTGGAGGTGCCGTGCTGACTCCCCTCAGCCTAGCCCAATGATGGCAAACCTTTTAGAGTCCGAGTGCCCAAACTGCAACGCATAACCCACTTATGCATCTACGGTGGTAATGGCAGACTGGGTGGGACTAAAAAGTTCAATCAATCAATCCCAACTTTGCAAGATCATTTTTTTTCCCTGCGAAAAGTTGAAATTGACTGATTGATTGAACCTTTTTTTTTTTTTGCACATGGCAGCGGAGGCCTAAAGCAAAAATGTTTTATAAAACCCAGCTGAAGGCCTAGGACTGGGCGATGGCACGCGTGCCCACAGAGAGGGCTCCGAGTGTCACCTCTGGCACTTGTGCCATAGGTTCGCCACCACTGGCCTAGCTGCTATCGCCTGAACGTTCTAAAGGCTCTAGGGCTCCACGCCGGTCAGCTGGTGAGTTAAGCAATTCGGCTGTTAATGGCCTTAGGAATGCTAATTGAGGGAAGAATGGTTCGTATGAGCGGTCCCAATTCAGGCAGGCAACTGCCTGTAGGAATCCCTACAATTAAGGCCTTCCTGGCCAGAAAGGAAAAATGCCAATCAATTTTTCCCCTTTTGTTTAATTATTAACTAAAGTCCAGAATGAAGGGAAATTCCACAAGTGGATTATACAACCTGTTGGTAATCTGAGTGATCAATATGCGTCTGTTGAGCAAGAGACTAAGTCTAAAACTGGGGTGCTCTTGCACAGCAGAGGCGTAGCTACACTTCAGACTTAGTCTTATTGGAGCAGAAAGATTAAGACAACCCACTTGTGGATTCTCCATCCAATCATGCTGGAGAATGTAAATATTCTCAGGATTTTAGATTGATAACATTTGCTTTTTAATAGTCTCCAAAATCTACTTAAACTTGAATCTTTGCACTCTTTTTTTTGGCAATGCTGTCTAGCATTTTGTAAATATAATTGTGCCTTGGATTTCCAAGCAAACCCCCACCCCACCCAATACTTGTACTTCTGGCAAATAAATTCCTTTTGAAAGGACCCCTGAATGGCCTTTCTTACTATTTCTTCCCTTCTGCTAACCAGAACTGGAGCAAGAAAAGAAAGGCAGATTTTATTCTTAGGCTTTTGAAGTTGCATTCTAAATAGATTTGGACTACTGTACCCAAATTACTAAGATTTTCTGCTTGGACCACAGGAAGCAACAAAGGTAAATGACTGTTGACTTGAAGCCATTAAATACCTTAAGAATGTAGTTTTTCAGTAAAACTTCCCGCAGTAATGAATGAGTCACTCAAAATGTGATGTCCTGAACTGGAATTTATTAAAACAATTGTCAAGCTGGGATTTCCTTGGAGAAGTCTGCAGAAATCAATATATTCAATTTTAATTGTGTTTAGATAAAGCACAGTGCTGATATTGCTCCCCACCCCAAATGTTGTCTTAGTGGAAGGACAGCTTTCTGAGGCAGCACTTAAATTCAGATGTGTCCTTCTGTGAATAAAGGCAATACATGCATTATGCTGTTAATAGGTTTGACCAGGGAAGAGGAGCTTTGGAGTACAAGGAGCACAAGCGCAGCACTTAACTACAACTCATGAAAGTAACTGCCTTTTTGTGATTATCTGGAAAGCTCAGAAATGGTTGAAAGTGATTTACCATCTAATTAGAAGAAGGGAGCATTTTGTAAAACATTTTCCCCCTTGAAATGAAGAAAATATCTAAACAAGGCTTAAGTGTAACTGTTCAATTCATGATGCAGTTAGAGAATATTAATATTGCCGAGTGTTTTTTTATGGAAAGAAATTCAATAAGTATCTTACTTCAGGGCTTAACTTTCCAGATTCCTGGCTGTTAAGATGCTAGGCCCTCAAAAACCCTTGTTAGATCAGAGGACAAGCCAATCTATCCTATACTTCTATGAAGTAACCAGATAATCACAAAAAGGAAGTTACTTTCATGAGTTGTAGTTAAGTACTGCACTTGTGCTCCTTGAACTCCAAAGATCCTCTTCCTAGTCAAATCTATTCTAATGCATGTATTAACTTTATTGCCCAGCCTTAATGTTTTTATATTCCTGACTCAGAGAACTTTCATCCCCCCCCCCACTTCCCATTGTGTCTGATGCTCAGAAACTCCCTGACCCAAGCACCTACATTTTTCTTGGCAAGGTTTCTCAGAAGTGATTTAGCACTGCCTCCTTCCTAGGGCTGAAAGAAAGTGACTGACAACTGGCTTTGTGCCCAAGGCGGGACTAGAAATCACGGTCCTTGATTTCTAGCTTTATGCCTTAATCCCTACATCAAGGTGGCTCTCACCATTCTCCTTCACAGCAATTTAAATGGCAATAACTCTTAAGTCATAAATACTGCTTAGCATTTCAGTTGCCAAAGTGCGTGCAAGGAACTTTAGAATGGCAATCTGGATGGAACAATTCAGAGAGAGCTTTGAGATCAGATGTTCTAATATCTGAATGCTGCTTTTGAGCCCAGAGAATAAAGCATACACATTTTACTACCGAAAGACAGGAAAAAGGTAAACTACCACTTTTTATTACTTATGGTCTTATCAAGAATAAAAGTGACTGCTATAACTATAAAAACACAGAAAAATATTTACAGCATTAGAAAAAAGACATAACATTTTATTCTATCAGGTAGCCCCTCAAAAGTATTTGGAATCAACTGCTGTTTACTAAAGAATTAATTTTTCACTACAGTAGAAAGAAATGCAAATATATTTTGCTGTTAGATTAGAACTGCTCATCGTCCGACTGCTCCAGATACTGAATTAGCTTCTTGCTGCGAATTGGTTTTTCACGGATCAGGGTTGGAACAGGAAAGTCCTCACTAGAGCTCAGTTCAATGACAAATGATTCATCGACATCCTTGGATTTCTACAACAATAAACAATAAACTCTCAGGACAGCTCCATGTGTATCACTGCAATCGTCTATATAATGGATGCCACAATAATAATTATAATATTCTAGGAAAAGAAATGGGGTGATAATATTCAGGGTAAGGGGCGATGCTAATTGACTCAACACTCCATGTCTCCATAATCAGTTTGTGCTTTCTTGAGCACCAAGAGACAAAAACCCATTGTGATATAATATCCATTTACCAAACAGGGAAAAAGGAAGGCAGCAGTTTTGGGGGAATGCTGCACACTAGACACCAAACCATTTTTCAAAGAATTTCATAGAATTCAAATAATTCTGCTCTAACTTGGTGGGAGCCTCTCCTGTCATTTTCATAGTTGCTATAGGAACTATATGTCAGGATTAAAAAGCTCTTTGACTCTTTGTCCTTGCTTTATAAAGGTCTTAAGGAGAGGGGAAAGACTTCTAGTTTACAGAATAAGCATCTGAGCTAGAGAAAGATATATTAGAATATTGTAACATTACTTTTCACAAATGACAAGTTAGGTTTGTTGCAGCATAGGAAGCTCCTACTCAGTATGAGAAACTCAGGCAACTTATTTGCGTCAATTAATGCTCAGTTTTTACTCAACTGCCTGAAAAATACATATATTTATCCTAAACATGCCAAATAAGGTTTGTGATCCAATAAAGTAGGTTTAATCTAGGGCATCTTTTAAAATTACTTTAAACGATTAGAGATAATGATGAAAATATGAACAAACAAACCTTAAGTGCTATTCTTTTTTTAAGGCTTTGGCCAAAGTCAGGATCAGAGTCTTCTTCACTACTGCAAGAGGAAGGCAACCTTCTTTTAGCAGCTTTCCTCATTCTGGCCAGCCTTTTGGGAACATCATCTGAACTGGAACTTGAAGTCTTAGTCTTGCTGTGTTTGGTTTTTGCCTTTCTCTTAGTGAAAGCCTCCTGAATAGAAGGCTGGTTTCCTAAAGGAAGAGAAACAAATTTTTGTGGGCACACCTTTAGCTCCTCTCTACCAAGAAATACTGATAACAGCTTTGGAAATGCTTATTCCTAAACAATAGGTTGCACTTCCTAGTTGTTCTACTAGACAGAAATAAAAAAAGCCCAATCCCTGTCTAAGAAAGTATGGTAGAGGATAATTATTTGTAGGTCCCAATATTCCTTTGGGCAGAACTCTGAAGATTCCAGTTGGTGGTCTTTTCACTGAATTTCATCAGCCACTTAACCATACATCTTCCCCAAGAATAACAGAAGTGCAAGCTCCTCCATGGAAATGAGAGTATGGCCTCTGAGAAAATGAGGACAAGGCCAGGACCTTTCCTTCCATGTGTAAACTGTGCAGCCTATTCCTCTCTTGGATCTAAAACAGTGGTTCTCAACCTGTGGGTCGGGACCCCATTTGGGGTCGAACGACCATTTCACGGGGGTCGCCAAACAACGCAGTTCGCCATTTTTTCCCCCTTTTCCTTAGCTGTGCTACTCCCTTTTATTCTATTGGCTTTTGAAAGCCAATAGAATTGACTCTCTTGAATAGAGTCTAATTCTATTGGCTTTCAAAAGCCAATAGGAATTGTCCAGGCTGTCTCTGCCCTGCTGAGCCCGCCAAAAGTCCCATTCTGCAAACGGTGCTGCACCAGTTGAGTAGTCCTCGACTTACGACCGGTTGGGGGTCGCGGCATTAAAAAGGTTGAGAACCACTGATCTAAAAGACCTGATGAGATATGCTATTTGTCTTAGATGTCCTTATAAGTCTTACTGGAGACTTTGTTACTGCACATGCTCCTCTACCAACAGCTTGGGGGTGAATGTAATCATGTTACATATGAAATTGTAATATAGAGAACATATCTCTCAAATTTATTTTACATACATTTAAAAATATTTAATTCCACAACAGGAAGGAATTACTGGGAAATTCTCTCCATCAGCAGCTGAGAATATATATTCAAGGTGGTTATTAGCATTTGATTTGCATAATGTCTCCACAGTGCTACTCTCATACAAATTAAATTTTGCATATTGTTCTCCTTTTACTAGCAAAGCTTCTACAAAAAGGAGTCTCCTCTGCAATCTTCAATCTCAAGAGTCAAGGCCTAATTGAAAGAGAAACATCTCTGGTGTATTTTTCAACAAGAGATTGTTTCTTTACTATCAAACTGATATAGAGGAGCAGGTAGAATGTGTATACAAATGACAAATCAAGAGAATGACCTCTTGATTATTATTAGATGTATAAAAGACTTGTTAAACCCTTGAAGAAGTGTGTGCCATAGGATAAAAATAATTAGAGAAATTAAAACCTACAGTATTGGATTGGTTGTCCTTTTGTTTGTACACTGGATTTTCAAGGATTTTTTTTTTTTGAAGCATTGCTGTCACTCACTGGAATGTTAACAATGACTAAGCTCATAGAAAAGAATGTGCAAAAATCAAAACTGCAGAATCTGAGAAACATCTCTAATGTTCATGCTGTTTCAATTTTTTTTGTGTTGCATTTGAGTTCAGTGAGGGAAACAATTGTTCTAAAAATGCTTCAAAAATTAGATGAAATACAGGTAGTCTTTGACTTACAACAGTTTATTTAGTGACTGTTCAAAATTACAACAGCACTAAAAAAGTGACATGATTGCATTTCATACTTATGACTGTTGCAGCATCCTCTAATCACATGATCAAAATTCAGATATTTGGCAATTGACTCACATTTGCAATGTACCAGGATCATGTAACCAGCTTTTGTGACCTTCTGACAAACAAACTCAGTGGGGAAGCCAGATTCACTTAACAACCACATTATTAAATTAACAACTGCAGTGACAACTACATTTAAATTGGGCAAGAAAGGTAATAAAATAGGGCAAAATTCACTTAACAATTATCTCAGTAATAGAAATGTTGGGCTCAATTGTGTTCATAACTTGAGGACTACCTGTATTTTGAACCAATCTTTAATGCTTTATAGCATTGTACTACAAATAGATGGGGAAGAAATGGAGATAGTGACAGATTTTATTTTCCTGGGCTCCAAGATCACCTCAGATGGGGATTGCAGCCAAGAAATTAAAAGATGTTTGCTCCTGGGGAGGAAAGCTATGGCAAATCTAGACAGCATTCTAAAAAGCAGAGACATCACCTTGCCAACAAACGTGCATATAGTCAAGGCCACGGTTTTCCCAGTTGCAATGAATGGATGTGAAAGTTGGACCGTAAGAAAGGCTGAGTGACAAAGAATTGAGGCCTTTGAACTATGGTGCTGGAGAAGACTCCTACGAGTCCCCTGGACTGCAAGGTGATCAACTCTGACTGCTCTTTAGAAGGCCAAATCCTGAAGTTGAAACTCAAATACTTTGGCCACCTAATGAGAAGGAAGGACTCACTGGAGAAGGGCCTGATGCTGGGAAAGATTGAGGGCAATAGAAGAAGGGGACGACAGAGAATGAGATGGCTGGATGGAGTCACTGAAGCAGTAGGCGTGAGCTTAAATGGACTCCAGAAGATGGTAGAGGACTGGAAGGCCTGGATGAATGTTGTCCATGGGGTCACGATGGGTCGGACACGACTTTGCAATTAACAACAACAGTGTAATGTAGTATAATCCATGACAAATAATAATCCTGTATTAAAGGAGAACCTAATAGGATGCCTTGTTACAACATTGGCTATAGTCCACAGACATATTATAGACTCATTGCGTGGCATAATATCTAGGGCTATGTTAGGTAGTACCTAGCATTAAAAATGGTAATGGGTGAATGAATTCTGGATTTTATAGGCTAAACGGAGATTATGATACAAGTGAATTATATACTCACCCAAGCTACTGCTCTGTACTTTGGATGATTTGAATTCAACTTCCTCTTCCTTTGTTTTCCTAGAACATAAATTCTGTATTAAATTATGCATTTATTTTGCATCAGGGCCAGCAATACATGCTCATAGACATTCCTAACTGAAAAAAAATTAAAACTTTACCAAGAGATTGTAATTAATCTTGGGATTGATTTGCCCAAATTTTGAGATTTAATCCATTTTAAAATTATTTTCTTTTCCAATATTTGCACCACTGCAGTGAAACCAAGCACCTGAAAAAGGTTGTGAACCTCTTGAATTGCATTCCATTGTTGGGTTGGAACTATAAAACAGAAGCAACTTATTGTAATATTATGGTTAAAATTAAAAGTGGTATTTTTCATAGAACATTTGAACATAATGCTGACATCCATCTAGCAGAAAGAGCAGGATAATACAACAAGGTTTGAATATATTTAAAATAGAAACAACAGGTCACTTTTGTATGATCAGTTGATGAGATGTATGGACCTAAAGTTTGTGGAACTCTTCATCAGCAAAATGGGGAAACTGGAAAGGCCCATCTCAGTTATGGTGCATCTTTCTGCACGCAGATGATTCCAGGTTCTAATTTTACAGATCCTTCTGATTTGGATAACTGTCTAACATCCTGGAAAACAATTGCCTGTCTGCATAGATCAGGGATGGGTAATTAATCTTCTCTGTGGCCACATGAGATATGGCCCAAAGCAATAGGACTGTGAAGATGTGTAGGCACGCATGCACGAGCATATATAATTTTTTTAAAAAAGCGGTCGTCTTCAAAATAAAAGCAGTACAATAGTATTGTGTGCATGGCATAGGAGACCCTGGTCTACCAGTCCTCTGGTGGGACTAATCTACAAGCTCTGCAATTTCTGACGGCCTTAGGAAGGATTGGTTTATTGTGCATCTAGCAGCCCAAGGAGGAATCTAAATGCCTCCTGGAGTGCAAGAAAGTCCAGCCTGTTGGGCTCGCCTGTTGTAACTTCTGCCTTGTTGGTATTTCTGGCAGCAAAACCCTGTTTAATTTTTGACTGACATCATGTGGACGAGAAAGATCCAACCCAAAGGTGAATGTGGCCTGGGTGTAGTGGTGGGATTCAGCCGGTTCACACCAGTTCAGCAGAACCGATAGCTAATTTTTTGTTGCCCAGGCCCAGAATGGACTTCCGGAAGCGGCATCCACAGAGAACGGATTGTTCACATATTTGAATCCCACCACTGCCTGGGTACCTTAAAATGCCCACGTCTGACAGAGCTGGTACAGGTCGAAAAGAGCAAATAACCTGACCTTGTACATATTGACTTTTTTTTAAAAGGAAAAATTATTTCTGGTCTTCTCAGCATTTCTGTGTAATAAACACGAAATATAACAAATCTTTGCAAAAACTATTTTCTCAATTCTGATTAGCCTTAAAGTGCTGTCTGTTATCTAGGCAAATATTTTTTAAGAATCAAAGTAGGAGAATCACATCTGCATTTTGAACAAACTTACTTAGGAACAGCCTTTGGTTTTACTGTTGCTCTCGCAGAGTCTTCAGCCATAATAGCACCTTCATCTGTATCCGAATTAGAATCCTGCATACGTGTTGCTTTTGCCAAACAGGGGAAAAAAAAAAATCAGCTGCAACCCAAAAATGTGGGAAGAAGGAAGGCTAAATGACAGTACAGGTGGTCCCCACAATTCATTTAGTGACCATTCAAAGTTACAACAGCACTGAAAAAGTGACTTATAATCATTTTTCACACTTACGACCATTGCAACTTCCCTTGGTCACCTGATCAAAGTCCAGATGTTTGCAACTGGCTCATATTTATGACGGCTGTAGTGTCCTGGAATCATATGATCAGCTTTTGCGACCTTCTAACAAGCAAAGTCAAGTGAAGCCAGATTCACTTAACAACCATATTACTAACTTAACCACTGTGACAAGAAAGGTGGCAAAACTCATTTAACAATTTTTTTTTTGCTTAGCAAGATAAATTTTGGGCTGAATTGTAATAGTAAGTCGAGGACTAACTGTATATTCTTAAGCAACAGGGGAATATAGCAAATGGGGAAATGTTTTGTTCCAATTACAGCATAAATAATTGCATTGTGAAATTTTTATTGAACTGTTAAGCAACCATGGTTTGAAAAAACTGGAACAAAACCTGGGCAGAACAAAGCTGGTGCACCCCGGCCTTCACTCTCCATTCCACCTTCCAGATCAATTTATTGGATTGCTGAGCTGAGGCATCCCCTTTATCTACTTAGTCGCTGTTATTGATGTTTTTGGCTTTGTCCCATTCTCTCTCTCATTCCACACTTTTATTTGGGCCACAAATAGCTCAAATGGATCAAAGCAGCTGTGTTTCAGTTCAAGCATAGGACAACTAGAAACCTTCTTGTACAGTTTGGTTTCTGTGTGCAACATTTTGTATTACCTTACTATGAACTGTGGACTAGGATGTTTTATAGCTTTCTAAACATGCTTTAGAAAGGTGCCACCCAAATTAAGATTCCAAGCTGATTTTAAATTCTTTGAAAATTTACCTGTTACTTGGTGTTGTGCATGAGAATCAACCTCGGGGTCAACAGCATCTTCATTTCCATATTCTAAGTCAGACCAAGGACTTACTTTCATTATTTTTTTTACTGGCTTGAATGGCAGTTTGGACTGTTTCTTGGCATCTGAAATTCAGCAGGTTTGTTAGGCTACTTATAATACATCCCATAGAAAACATAAACCCACAGGGAAAACGCAAAAGGATTTTACCTGAATCCATTTTCAGTTTCTTCATTAATCTTTGTTTAAGATTCTTTGGTTCCTTGCTGGTCCCTGGGAAATCTTGATTCTCATCAAGCTCAGTTTTTTCACTCTATAGATGAGCAAATGGAAGGAGTTTATCATTACTGGAGATAGGTAAAAGGAAGTTATGAAGCTAGTTAAGAAAACTAAACACATACACCCATCCAAAGGCTGTTTACCTTGATTTTTCTTTTTAATTTCTTCTCTGCCCCCAATTTCATTTCTTCAGTTATTCGGGGGATAACTCTCCTTCCTTTGGGAGAAGGCAGGATTTCCTGAAGCTGCTGGGTTTTTGGTTTCGCTTTCCCTCCTTTTTTTTTGTTAGGTTTGCCTATGATTTCTAACTTCTCATCCTGTTTTTCTTTTTCTTCTAACACCTAAAGCGTGGATGATAAAAAGAAACTAATACCTTGCAATATTTGGTTTTGCAACTGTGAAATTTGACCTAAAGAAAATGGTCCTATTGAGGGCATTTCTGCTTTAGCTTCACTCTGCAGTTCTGCACAAATGGAAGAGAGAAATTCTATATCTAAATCTGAAACAGGTAGCAATTTCTGCATTAATTTTGGTGTTATGTATGCATCTAAGCCTTGTTTGTTCTGTAAGCTTACTTTAAAACTTACCACTACTCTCAGCATTTCAGTTCCTCTTTTTAAATGCCAGCACCCTACCCAAACGAAGACACGGAGCTATTGATAGGGAATGTTTCACTTAGACTGGAAATTGATTGTTTCTGGCCCAAAAACCCAAGTTTACCTACATCAAGTTCCTCAATAAAAGCAGCCAGATCTTCTCTCCATAAGTCAATAGGATTCTTCTGTTTCAGGTTTTCTAGCTCCATTTCCTAATAAAAGCAGCAAGAAACAGTTAGGTCCATATTTGACCTTTCAATACTACTGCACCACAAACATTTTTCTCTAAGAACTCATCCACCTACTTTATTATCCCGCTGCTTGCACAGTTCATCCTTTTTTTCTTTTGTTAGGTACCAGAGGGGCATGTTCAGAAGGTAATTAAAATCTGGTCCAGTGGCCACAGTAGGTTCATTTTCTTTATCAGTATCTTCTTCTGCATCTTCATCAATGTCCTGGCATGGCAGAAGAGAAATGTAGCCAGGGGTTAATAGCATAATAGCTGTTATTTAGTATTTGTCCTTTCAAGGGGATCAGTCAATAACCCATCCCTTTCTCACAGTTCTTTCCTTTAGAGTACCTATCTGCTTCAAAAAACCAGTATTTGGCATGAAGATCTATTTTCCTTGCTGCAGTACCCACTATAATATCATGGAATTGGCTTTTTTAAAGTTACTGAGCCAAACCCTTAACTATTGAGTGGATTAAAAGGAAGAGCTTGAGAATCATACCTTCTGTTGAGACTCTTTCCATGTCTTTACTGGATCAGAATCATAACCCCTTTCTATGAGAACCTTTATTAATTCTTTCTTGGGCTTGTTCTCTAGAGAGGAAGATCAAACAAACCCAGATGAGCCAGCAGCCAAAATAAAGCATCACATTTGGCACCATGCTAAGAATATGTTAACTTGCATGCCACAAACACAAAAGCCACCCCAAAAGTTTTGGGATTACTCTTAACAGAAAGCAGGAAAGTAAACACCCATATACATTTAGTATTTCAAGTTGTACATTCAGCTTAGATTTTATTGTATAAATTATTTAAGTTTTTATTTCTAGAAAAGTAAGCTTTCTCTGCCTGTCAGGAAAAATAATTCTTTGGTTTTTGTTTTGCCCATTCTGACCCAGAATGGGAAGCTAGGAATTATTTCTGTAAAAGTTGTTCTACTACCTTTCATGGCTTGTAACAAAATCCTAACAGTCCTTACCTATCACTATTTTGCCTTCTATTTTTTCAAGGATGAAGCGAGCTTGATTGTTTATTTTTGCAGATTCTGCACCCAGCATGCCAGTGAGCCAATCCTTTCTTAAACAGTAATAACGCAATCTGACTTGATAGAATTCCAGCAGAATATCCTCTGCGGTCTCATATTTTTTTAGGCAGCCAGCATGGTCGAAAAGTACCTGGAACAAAGAGTAAGGTCCCAAAGATCTATAGATTGTAGGGCTGCATTTAAAAGCTGGATGTGATTCCTTTAACCATTACATGGCCTACCCCCACTCACCTCCATTTCTCATTATGGTGTCTTGTTACTTTTTAGGAATTGTAAATGTATCTACATGCCTGGTTTCTAAAACAGGTCCTTACTTACAGTTAAGTGCAAATCTCTCTCAAAGTGACAAGAGCAAAAAAGCTTTCACTATTTGGAAAAAAGCAGCTCTCCATTCCCAAGGCAACAGAGATAAATAACTAAAATGGAGGAACAGGCAGGCATAGTTAAATCTATTAACAAGACTGATTTTCTACTTCTCCAGTTTTACCTGAGAATTTGAAGTCTAAGATTTCAGTTAAAAACTATTGATTTGATCTTGCCACAAAAGGATCCTACTCTGAGATTCTGTGTCTTAGCTGAATGGAGATGGCTCCCAGAGAGTGTCATCCTTTGTTCTATAATTTATATTTGTTTAAAAGATATATATAGCCTGTATATGTGTGCGCATATGAGAGAGACAGACAGACTTTCTAGGTATGCTTATCCTGTTACAAAAATAGAAGCCTTCTGAATTGTTACTTACCATATTGCTACAAGAAAGAGGACTTTGTAATTTGAAGACCTTATGTAGACCAATAGCTTCTGCCTCCACTAGTTTCTGTTCACTCATTGTTATGATGAATTTGACCGTAGTGTCTGTGTGGTACTCTTTATAGTCTGTTATGAGTGAAGGAGTCTTCTCTGTGCCAATCAGCATAGGCTCCAGAACCTGTTCTTTATAAGTCTTTTGGAAGACGGGAAGAAACAACATAATGATTTTATATTTTCTCTTATATGGTGAGTTCAGAAACATATTGTTATTATGGCTCAGAGAGCATAGTACAAAAATAAAACAAACCTTACCTGTGTCCATGTCCGAACAGGAAGCTCTGAAATTTCAATGGTGGTTGAATTAAGGACTGACACTTCTCCATTGATAAGGAAATGGTTTTGCCCTAGTTCATCTATTGTCCCCTTGAAATTCTTGTAACTAGGAATCTAAAAATATTATTAGCTGAATTAAAGTAAGCCAGGGTGAACATGTATCTTGTTTGCATAATATAATAAGAATCCAAATTAAGATAACAAGGGTGATAATTTCAACAAAGGCTTCTGAAAATAGAAGAGAGGTTGTAGAGAAAAAGTCATAAATAGTTTTATAAAAAGCAGTACAAAAATCTCCAGTACAGAGATAATATTTATTGACTTCATATTGCTTTCTTTTAAAGAAAGTGTCATTTTAAACTTTACTGCATACTAGGAAGGTAGCTATAGGCTGGGTTTTTTTTTATAAAAAAAATTAAATTGTAATGGCTCTGACGTCCAAATAAAGAAAATCCAATTGTATCTTTGTCTACACACAGAGATCATTTTTATTTAATTATTGATGCATTTTTTTTACCATTGCTAATGGCTCATCTCCATCAAGCATACGTCGAATGTTATGAACCACTTCTCGAATGTCATAATTAGGAACTTTACATGACCAGCCAGTTCCAATGCCTTCAGCACCATTGATCAGCACCAAGGGAACAATGGGAATATACCATTCAGGTTCAACTCGTTGATTATCATCGTACATAAATTTCAGCACATTGTCATCTACTGCTGGGAAAGCCAATCGTGCCAAAGGACTAGGAAAAATGAAAAGCTTAAATTAAAGTTGTGGTTAAATATTTCTAGAAATAGGTTTATGATTATGGGGTCTTCTCTGCAGGTGAGGAGAAACAAGGAAGAAAAAAAATAGCCAGAGGTTGTCAAGGAAGTGAAGAAATGACAGTAACTTTCAATTCTTTACTTTCCCTTTAAAGCAGGGGTTCTCAACCTGTGGGTCGGGACCCCATTTGGGGTCGAACGACCATTTCATGGGGGTCGCCAAACAACGCAGTCCACCATTTTTTCCCCCTTTTCCTTAGCTGTGCTACTTCCTTTTATTCTATTAGCTTTTGAAAGCCAATAGAATAGACTCTCTTGAATAGAGTCTAATTCTATTGGCTTTCAAAAGCCAATAGGAATTGTCCAGGCTGTCTCTGCCCCGCTGAGCCCGCCAAAAGTCCCATTCTGCAAACGGTGCTGCACCAGTTGAGTAGTCCTCGACTTACGACCGGTTGGGGAGGGATCGCGGCATTAAAAAGGTTGAGAACCACTGCTTTAAAGACACAAGAGAAAAGAAAACCTAAAGGGGGTGGGGGAAAAGACCCCAACTACCAAAGACAAAGCATGAATGTATTGATTGATCTCGTCACTTAGAGAATAAAAGTTAAACTTTTCTTTTGATTCCTCTTTTGTTGACAGAGAAGGAAATCTTGCTAAATCTCTTTAAAATAGACTTTTACACATTAAATGTGTATTAAACCCTTGATTAAATGGAGTATGGGAGTGTCTGTGGACACTGGCTGTTGAATATTGAACGGATATTTTGGCTGTTGAATATTGAAGGGATATTTTTTAGGTACAAAAACACATCTGAACCTGAGAAAATACTCATTTTGAGGGGAATTACTGAAAACAGTAAACTTGGTTCAGATTGATTTGTCCGAGGCAAAAACTATTATTACCTGAAATTCAAACATGTTTTGTCTGTTAGACCTGAAACTTTTAGATTATGATTTGTTAAATAGAAAGTTTACTGCATTTAAATTCACAAACAAAGTAAATCTAAGATCTATAAATCTAAGTACATCTGAAAAGACATTTCCATCTCAAGTCAGCCTTTTTGTTTGGTTATTCAGGAACTGTAGTTCCAACATCACTAGAATACAGGTAGATCTCAACTTATTACCACAACTGAGTCCAAAATTTTTGTTATTAACTGAGACAGTTGTTAAGTGAATTTTGTCCCATTTTACAACCTTTCTTGTCAAAGTTGTTTAGATAGTAACATGGTTTGTTAAGTGAATCTGGCTTCCCCATTGACTTTGCTTGTCAGAAGGTCACAAAAATTGATCATATGACTGCTGGACATCGCAATCATCATAAATATGAGTTAGTTGCCAAGCATCTGAATGTTGATCATGTGACTATGGGATGCCACAACAATCATAAATATGAAATAGAATCGTAAGTCATTTTTTGTTGTATCTTTGAACAGTCACTAAATGAACTGTTGTAAGTCGAGGTCTTCCTGTACACTAAGTTGGAAGGGAGTATCTAAGTCTAAACTAAGAAAAGCAACCTGCTTTTACCAACCTGAGCATTGTAAAGATATATCTAGGGCTTGCAGCGTCTTTTCCACCATGCAGCCTAGTTCCAAACTGACCAATGGGTTGAAGTAAGTTCAGGTTGTTGCTGCCCACAAAATTTTGAGCCAAATTAATAATAGTCATCATCAGTGAGTTCTGAAACAAAGTAATAATTATAAGTGATGCATCACCACCAAAATCATCAAGCATCAATACAATGAACAGGATAAGCTAAGTCACAAATACTAGCCAGAAAAATCCAAAGTCACTAGAAATCTACTTCTACCTTATTCCAAATAAACTCTGCTTCAACTATTGGCCAACTGACTTGTGGTTGGAGAATTACAGAGGAAACTCCATCTCCAGGCTTTGTTACCTGCAGCTGCAACAGGTATAGGCAACCTATGGATTTCCAGAAATCACTGAATTTCAACTCCCAATGGCCTTAGGCCAATAGAGCAAATGATGAGCATGCTGGGAACATAACTTAGTAATATTTATAAGGTCCCAGATTGCTGATCACTGGGTTAGAAAATGAAAAATCATGCTCACCCTTCCTTGTAACAATTTCTAATGCTCATACTCCTTGCAAACTATATTTTTACTTGCTACTTTTTGAGATCCCTTTAATATTTTTCTTACCTCTCCATGGTGATAAGAGGACATTTCTGCAACTGATCCAGCCAGCTGAGCTACTTTTACCTCCCGTTTGTCATTTCTTTTCAAGCATGTATATAAAACTTTCCTCTGACCTGGTTTCATTCCTGAAAGAATACATTAGTAATTACAACTTCTCTCCATAGTGAGCCTCTTTTAGCTAAGGCATTCACAAAAGGATAAATTTTCCAAATTAGATTATATATTAGTTTATTGCAAATATATCTGCTTTATATCTAGACAATAAATATACATTTTCTGATGCATTAAAACCTTCTTCAGGCAAGAATGTTTAAGAATATAAAGTTTTATAAATGTTTATTTGCCAGTTACAAAATTTTCCCTATTAAGTCAGCTCTTTGTGGTCTATCTCTTTCAAAAATATGATGCACTAAATTTAAAGTACACAAAATCTTATTTATTTGTAAAAGAAAACCCTTACCATCAACTAATGATGGAATAGATCGCTCATTATCAGAATTTGAAAACAGCACAAGTTCCTTGTTGATAAAATCATTGTAGGTCAGGTAATTTGTAGTTTTCCCATATAGGTAATCCTAAAGAAGGTAAGGCAGTTTAAGATAAATCCTTAAATAGTATCCAAATGCTTTCTTCTACTGAGGTGTTATCATTTCTAATGTCTTGTGGATTTTTTTTTTTTAAACAAAACACAGGAATCTTTCCCTTGAATCACACATCACTAGATATGAAAGGAAAACCTTTATACTTGGACCACATATTGCTAGATGCATCCTTGTGGCAGAAGGTTCATAAAGAATGCATATGCATCATTTGTCCTTAATAGATCATTTCATTAATATACATAACAACTCCCTCCATCAAATCTTTGTAACTGATGGGTGAAAAAGTTTTCACTTAGGAAACATCAAACTTAAAATAAGCTATTCTGACTGCAGTGGAAATATGTGAGACTGAGGCTTCTAGTGAGGTTGAAACTGGCTGATTTTAGCTCAGAAATTTTTAAAACTCAAACGTTTATATGTTTCTATTACTAATTATTTTTTACTTGCTACCAAATGTTTAGTGATAGTCAAAGATAAGGACATCTCACTGATGCTAAAGTAATAAAAAGAAACCATCTGATGTATGTATGTATGTATGTATGTATGTATGTATGTATGTATGTATATGTGTGTGTGTGTATTGTTCTGCCGAAACCATATAGAAGGAATCCCATTTTACTCTGTAAAATACTTACATCTGGCAGACCAAGAAGTTTCCGTTGCCTTCGGTCTTCCATGAAGTTTGTCAGCCACTCCTTTCGGTCATCCACCTTTTTTTTACTAAAGGCCTAGAATGAACAAGAATCTTACTAAACAATAGTTTTCACTGCCAAGTGCTTAATTAAATCACAGACGTTTTGATAAGTAAGGAGGAAAAAGATGCCAAAAAGCAGGAATTGCTGCAAAGAACTCCTCTGAAAAGGTATTTATCACCATATTTTTAATCTCTACACATCTGCTACCTTATTAAAAGCCTCAACAACTAGAAAAAGCTGAGGAAATTCCAGGACATTACTAATAATCAAAGAAAATAGAAGGAAGGGACATCATACACATTCTGCAACACAAGCTAGATCCAAACCCACAAAAAGTTGAACCTACCTAAGGAGCAGATAGCCAACTCCTGTAAATATTCTTATTCCCTCAAATGCTTTGTGAATATGATGGTTTAGAGATGGATTTACAAGCAACGGTTGAAAGTCAACAGCTTATAGATCTCTTCTCTTCAATGGAAGAGAACTCTCCATCCCCCCAAGCACACTGCTGCAATAAGCAGTTAATACAGGATAGTGTGAGTATCTAACCTGATAAACTTAAAAGAACAAAAATGTAAACTAAGTCTGCTGACGGCACAAACGGTTCTCTCTATCTTTGACTAGCCCACAATTAAAATCAAAGTGAACTCCTTAAAAGAGGAACCGTAAAACATTGAGAACCAGCCAAATAACAACCCTACCAAAGCACATATCTGCTGTATCACGTGTGCCCCAAAAACACCAGCTGGAAAGCCAAGGGCAAGTTTATCCCTACACCAAGGAAAAGAGAAAACAATCAGAGACAGCTGACCACTCCTGTGGGAAAGGATGGGAAACAAATTTTCAGTGGGCACGTAACAAAGGGGGAGAGCTATTTAAATTGTAAATATTGTCTACAACCTAAATAAATCACCTTACAAATATTAAATAATAAAGTAAATACAGATCAGTGGGGAATAAAGAGAACAATTGTCTTGCGAGAAGCATCTGATTTGATTTAAAGCAGGATGACCGACTTCCATCTAGAGACCAAGAACAAATTCTACACACATTTGGGCAACCCACAACTCCTAGTATATTGTTTAAAATAAGGCCTTTTCTGTATACTTTTTGCTGTGGCTTTCCTTTCACAGTATCTGAGGGCTGTAGGGATCTGGATGGGAACAACAGGCTTCAGCTGAACCCTAGCTAAACAGAGTGGCTGAGGGTGCAAGGGACCTCATGATCCAATTGTTTATCATTGTTAGTTCTGGATCGGTCTGCATTGGATCCATCTATGGTTTTTCCTGGAATCACAACTCCTGTTCAAAGAGCAGGTGACAGTCATGGCTAGGAGTCTTTATACAACTTCAAGTTGTGCACCAGTTGCATCCTTACCTGGATCTTGAGGTTCTGAGCATGGTCATTCATGGCCCGGTCAACCCTTGATTGGATTACTATAATGTGCCCTACATGGGGCTACCTTTGAAGAGTATCTGGAAGCCAGAGCTGGTGCAGAATACAGTAGTGTAATTCTGAGGGCTCCTAGGTGGCACATATAATAACACCACTGTTGTGTGAGCTGCAGGTTGCCAGTTGCAGGTCGAATTCAAGGTGTTGTTTATTTCTTTTAAAGTCCTATATGGGATGGGTTCAGTTTATCTGAGCAGTCGTCTCATCCCAAGGGACTAGACCGTCCCCCTTGCGCCAGAAGAGGCCTGCTGCAGATCTCATCTGCTAAAGAATTCCAGTGGGTGCGGCCAAGGAAAACAGCCTTTTCTGTTGTGGCCCAAACTCTGCGGAATGTTCTACCACTGGAGGTGAGAACTGCTCCCATTCCTGTGGCCTTCTGGAGGGGTACAAGCAGTCCTCAACTTACGACCACAATTGAGCTTAAATTTTCTGTTGCTAAGCAAGAGAGTTGTTAACTAAGTGTTTTCCTCATTTTATGATCTTTCTTGCCATAATTGTTAAGTGAATCACTACAGTTTCTGGGACACTGCAACCATCATCAATACATGCCAGTTGCCAAGCATCCGAATTTTGATCAGGTGACCATGGGAATGCTAAAATGGTTGTAAGTGTGAAAAATGGTCCTAAGTCACTTTTTTCAGTGCCGCTGAATAGTTAATCCTTGACTTATGATCACAATTGAACCCAAAATTTCGGTTGCTGAGACATTTGTTTAATAAATCTTGCCCCATTTTATGAACTTTAATTCTTGCTACAGTTATTAAGTGAATCACTGCAGTTAGTAGCATGGTTAAGTGAATCCGGCTTCCCCATTGACTTTGCTTGTCAAAAGATTGCAAACACGACCCTACAATTGTCATAAAGTTACCTGAATTTTGATCACATGACTTTGGGAAGGTGGCAATGGTCGTAATTGTGAAAAATGATCACAAGTCATTTTTTTCAGTGCTGTTATAACTTCAAATAGTCACTAAATGAACTATTGTAAGTTGAGGAGTACCTGCAATTCCAAATGGTCACTAAAGGAATGGTTGTAAAATGAGGACCATCTGTATTATAACTTGGCTTTGCCAGTCAGCTTGGGGGCCTGTTGGAGATGGCTGATGGGGTAAGAAGACCTCATCCCTGTGTTGTCCGTCTCTTAGTCCTGTTTTAAATTTTTAATTTGCATAGTTTTCTATTTTTTTTTTAATAATCGGAAAGCTGCCCAGTGTCGCCTTATAATGGAATGGGCAGCATGAAAATGTAATAAATACACACTTTTTCAATCTTTTAAAAATGTGTAGTAGGCTCAGAGAAACTCAGCCCACTCCTAAACCAAATCTGGCCTCTATAGCGACTTCAGATAATCTCAAGGACACTTTACCAGTTCATCCCCCTCTTCCCCCCATGATAGTCCAGGCGAAAAATCTCCTCTTCCCACAGCAAGACACAGCACAGATGACCTGGGGAAAACATCTTAACTCTTTCAGTGTCCTGCCAGATTCAGAACAAACCGATATTCTCAAAAGAATGGACATTTGAGAGAAATTCTGGTGACATCACATAAAGTAACCAGAGCTCTACTTGATTTGGTTTTACCAACCGTCCAAGACAGTTGACATCATTTTGAGAAAAGACTTGTTGGCATGGCAGTCCCCTCCTGATCTATGGAATCTAGGGGACTGGATTAGGGGACACACTATTATTCATTTTGACACTATTGCTTGTCCATATTCATTCATTTACCACTTTACAATGCCTCGGTAAGGCCAAACCTGGAATACTGCATCCAATTTTGATCATCACAATGTAAAAAAGATGTTGAGACTCTAGAAAGAGTACAGAGAAGAGCAACAAAGATGATTAGGGGACTGGAGGCTAAAACATATAAGGAACAGTTGCTGGAATTGGGTATGTCTAGTTTAACGAGGAGAAGGACGAGGAGGGACATGATAGCAGTGTTCCAATATCTCAGGGGCTCCCACAAAGAAGAGGGAGTGAAGCTATTTTCCAAAACACCTGAAGGCAGGACAAGAAGCAACGGATGGAAGGAAACTAATCAAGAAAAGAATCAATGTAGAATTAAGGAGAAATTTCCTGATAGTTAGAACTAATTAGTAGAATAACTTGTCTCCCAAAATTGTGGGTGCTCCAACCCTGGAGGCTTTTAAGAAGAGACTGGACAATCATTTGTCTGAAATGTTATAGGGTTTCCTCCTTGAGCAGAGGGTTGGGCTAGAAAATCTCCAAGGTCCCTTCCAATCCCGTTATTCTGTTAAAATAAACTGAGAGCAAACCCCATTCCTTATTAGCATTGATGCTGATACTTAGTTTGGACAATGATAGATCTGCAAGAGAACCAAGCTCAGAGAACATCAAGGACACCCCAGCCCCATAGAGTCCCGTACTTTTATAAGTTACTTGTCCCAATTCAACGTCCAAGAGACTTGGTCAACAAATGATTACTTTACTGGGGGATATAAACCATTATTTCTCTTAACAGGTCCTGGCACTGTATAAGGGAGACATTGTATTGGTCTGAGTGTCCATATCTCAATCATTCTAAATACGGAGATTATGTCAATAGGCTCATTTGAGAACCTAACACAAACAGTTATTCTCAACTTTTCTAGAGAAATTGTTTCTCATTAATTTCTATATACCTCTCAAATTTGGGGAAGATTATATCAATGTCTTGAATTATGTTTTCCCACTGCTCATATTGTCACTGAAAGGGACTTCGATGCCAGACTAAACCCAAATGATAATCAGCTATTTGCCAAAGTTCCACCTAATCAGCAGACTATCTCTAAATAGCCAATCTCTTCATTTGCTGAAACTGGGAGAAACACAACTATTCTTTTGTATGCAAACAACACTGTGCTGCTTTCTCAAACAGACTGGCTTGAACTGGGTGCTCCAAATATTAGCTGAACACTGCCAAGAACTTCCAATTACACTAAAACCAAGGTCACAGTCTTTGCTAAGCATCTAAGATGCATGTATAGTGACTAATAACTATCCAACAGAGCAAGTCAAAACATTTAAATAGGCTAACTAGTCATTTGCACACAAAAAAGTGTTGGCTTTACAAAACTTTTACTTCTCCAAAGGAGCTCAACATATGCCTGCAGCAATTAGTCTCCTCAGCTAAGATCTGAGCCCAGCTCTGTTTGGAGCTCTGAAGGGTCCCTACAGGTCATTCCTGTCTTTGGAAAAATTGAGCCCATGTTTTTGAGAACCATCTTTCAAGAACCCTCTATATTTCAAACATGGTCCTATGTTATTAAACTGGTCTTCTTGAAACTGAAACTTCTGTCTGGATTTACATCTTCTTCCAGTGGCTTAAGTTCCTCTTCTTTCCAGTTGGTTTGGTCCTTTAACTATGACTGACAGTTTTCAGTGTTCCTAGAACCAGGCAATACATGCCAAATTGCAACTCTATGGCTATTCAGGACTAGCCATTATCTTTTGAGCTACAAACATGCTCTAGCTCAGCGACCCCTAACCTTTGAGGCTTGGCAGCCCAGCGGAAAAAGGGGAACTGGCCTGCATGAATGGTGGGGCAGCGCAGATATGCATGTGCACACAGCCTGACTTCCACAAGTAGTGGGCCATGGCCCAGGGGTTGGGCCCCCCTGTTCCAGCTGATTTCTAACAGTGGGCTATTGTTTTAGAGTTGCAAGCAGATTTTCCAGCACTATCAATAAACACCTTGAGCCACTCTGAACTTTCTCTCCAACCAAGTAAATATCTGTTGCATAACAATCCTAAAATTCAGAAGGGGCTTTTTTTTTTTGCCAGATTCAAGGCCCTCCCAATAGCTGTTACTGAAAGAAGATACAAAAAACAAAAACCGCCTCTTCAAACAGAGACTGGTCCACATGTGGAGGGATAATTGAATTGACAGAACATGTCAATTCTCTATTGTCCTCTCTATACAGGAGCATGACAGAAATTATTTCCACTTTTTACTACAAATACTGATCATTTCAATCTGTTTGATCTCATGATGTTATTATCGGATCAGTATGATTTTATTTTTCTGACCACAATCAAGTACTGTTTTATAGTTTGCATATAAGTTGTGGTATTAATGTTAAGCCTTCCCCCCAGACATATATCCTTTTATTTTAACTAATTATGACTTTTGTATTCTATTGCTGGTCTATGACCAAATAAAGATTTGATTGATTTTATAAGCAAATTAAATTTATTTATTTTATTTATTTTCAGTATTTATATGCCGCCCAATCCCAAAGGACTCAGGGCGGCGTACAAAGTTAAAACAATGATGAAACAATAAAATAAAGCAGTCATACCGCGAGTCCGATCATATCCCGGCCCCCCGGGGACATCAGCCCCAGGCCTACCGGAACAGGAGGGTTTTAACGGCCTTCTTAAAGGCCGGCAGGGTGGGAGTAGTTCGAACCTCGGGGGGAAGCTGATTCATGTTAAGTTCCACTAAATTATGCCTAAACTATTATGTCTCTCATAGTGCCTGCTGATAGGAAATTAAAACCTCAAAATATGATTGAATTAAGTGGAGTTTATATAAATCCAACAATATTTAGGAAGAAAAGTTAAAGTTACAGAGTTCATATATTTTGCAAACACAAAAATGTATATTTATCCAAATTTATCCAAGTGATAATTCATTGTGTCTGCAGTATATTTTAACTTTTATAATTGCTATTAAATAAATGAAGCTTAATTTCAGGCACCTAAATCCTACATCTAAAAACTGCCCAAATCCTGTGGCAGGGAATAAAACTACCAACTGGGGTTAAAAAATAAAACTAAGCAGAAGGGCTTCTGGTGATTCATTGTCCAAACAAGTTTGCAAACTCAAAGGAACAGAGGGATAAGAAGAAAATTTAATCTACCAGGGTGATTGCAGCATCATCTTCAGGACCAGAGTACTTGAAAGGTATTCGATGCCTTGCCATTGCTGCAAAATATTCTTTTGCTTCCTTTGAAGTGCTGGTACCCAGACCTAGGGAGATAGAGAGTCTGTGTAAAATTTTTTTAGATAAGACAGTCATATTTCATGTGCAACTTTTATTTGTATTTAATTATAATTTCAGTTTCAAGGTTCCCCGATTCCATAGTTACTCTGGATGGCTTACAAATAAAAATTAAAATAAAACAAAATAGAAAAAAAGAACAAGAAACAAAATTCCAGTCAGATTGCTTCAACAGCAATTCATTTTCTTTGCACCAATGAAAACAGTACTTAGTACTATAATCAGATTTAGTGTACGAATAGTAAAAGAAAAACTATTCACAATTATTCACAAATGCAATAGCAGAATCATTTGGTCTGAACTTATTCTGTATCCATCTACACTAACAGGTAAAAAAACCCCCCACTCTTAAGCATTCTCCTATAATTTGCCACTCTTCAGATGTTGACTATGACCAGGGCTTTTTTTTGGGTCATAGAATGGAGTTCCGGCACCTTTTTGGGATGGAACCTTGTAGGGTAGGCAAGGTGGGTTGTATGACATGTGTGAACTCCTGCACCTTTTTTTTTTAAACAAAAAAAAAAAAGCACTGACTGTAACTCATTGACTAGGTTAGATAGAGTTCAACATGCTTGAGGGCATGAGGCTTATAAAGGTTAAATTAAATGTTTAACCAGTTGCTTTTCTTGTTAAAACTTTGCAATCAAAATGACTACTTGTACCTACTGAGGCTTTACAATTTAAGTAGAGTTTTTATAGATTAGGATACAGAATACAGCACTTACTGAGAATGTCTGTCACTTCGCTTCAATTACTATATCACAATCAAGAACATTTTCATTCGATCTTGGTGTTATGTGCAAAGTGGCGCAGAGCCGAGGTGGCGCAGCAGTTAGAGTGCAGTACTGCAGGCCACTTTAGCTGACTGTGTTCAGCAGGTCAGCGGTTCAAATCTCACCGGCTCAAGGTTGACTCAGCCTTCCATCCTTCCGGGGTAGGTAAAATGAGGACCCAGATTGTTGGGGGCAATGTAAATATATATATACATTGCTTACTGGTGTACACCGCTTAGAGAGTGCTTGCACTTAAAGCGGTATATAAGTCTCATAAAATAAATAAATAAATAAATGTAGGACAAATTAAGCGTTTTAACATACCCATTCAGCCTCCTGTTTAACATTCAACCTGACAGCTAGGCCGTAGAGAAAGAGCTTTTCTCATCTTTATCTTCCACACTTTACATGGAACACATTTCTTGTTTTGATGAGTTAGTTTAAAATAGTTGACATATAGCCCCTAATCCCTTGATTCCAAGTAAGGTTAAAATAGTTCTATCCAACACAATGTATTCTTTCTAAATTCTAAAGTTAGCCTTATTTAGTTCATCTGACATTACAGTTTAGCCAAACCTTTGTAGTATTTGATTTTCCAGTTTTTGTGGTTAGAGTTGCTGTTCTTCCATTCTTGAAATTCAGGAATGCTGTAGAAAGACATTTCTTCTCTGTTTTTGGAAACCTATGGAAAAGCCAAATGTCTCATTTTGAAGAATTAACAATATAACTAAGGACATTTAGTAAGAATATTTTCAGTTGCTAGTTATCACTCAAAGGGGTGGGAAAGCTCACCTTTACAATGGGAGTAATGAATTCTTCTAGGAAACGATGCTTCAGAAGAGATGGCCAATTATGGTGAATGAAATTAATCAATAAACCTTTGATATGGGAGCCATCTTGATCCTACAAAAGTGTTCAGAAGACAAGATTTCATCCATTGGTGTTGGAAGAGTCAAGAATCTTACTAGCTTTATATTCTGAGGCCAATATTAATCAATCTTTTAATTATGGCATTTGTTTGTCAGTTTTGCCCATAGTGTCTTTTGTCACTTTGTAATGTTACATTACAACACCTCTAATTTCTAGTCCAGTGTTATTTATGGATTATGAAGTTCAGCACTTCTGGAAGGAACTAAGAAGAACAAGATTGTTTTATAGTGCAAAACCAGGTATGATTGTTATGTCTAACAACAGACACCAGCGATTCACTGACCACTTGTTTACCCTGTAACTGATAAAGAATTATGGCCTGATTATTCCAGTCATAATCAGAATGCTAATATAGGATATCTTCACAGAAATAACAGCACAATAGAAATACTCCTTTACTAATCTATTCTAGTTATTATTAAATATTTTTGAGTGCTTGATTTCTACATTTCTGGGAGTTGGGAATGGTTTACATCAGGAAGTACTTTTTTCACATGGTCCCTGTCCAGTTGCTGATGAGATTCTGTTCTGCAGCTTAGTCATCTGAGAACTGAAGGAAGTTATTCTCTTTTTGTTTCTTTGATAGCAATTTGTAATAATTTGGGAAGTTGCATATACAAGGAAAAGTAGTAAGAAACCACATGCAATATTCTTTTCTAAAATCTCCTGTCTGGAACATCAAATATTTGCAGGAATACTACTTCAAGACAAGACAAATATTTTCCAGGAGGAAATGTATGCTGTTGCAACTAATTCAAATGATAAGTTGATTAAAAAAGACATTACATACTGATGTTATTGTTAAATACTACAAAAATGTTTATGCTCAAATTCGTATGTATTGATAGTACTAAGAAATATATTTGCTATAGGAGAACAATATTGGAAGAGAGGACTAAGGAAAGGTATTTCTAGTTAGCATCCCAATTATGAAAACATAGAAATTAACTATTATTGACTGCTGTTAAATATATGAACCCAAACAACACATTGTTTACTAAGCACTAAAGATTGTTATGCTAAAAAATTAATAAAATATATTAAAAAAGAGAAAGTTTAACATTTACATTAAATTACAATTTAAAAGAATTTTTTTATAAGATGATGTACTGCTGGTATTTAATACCAGGCAAATTGGCAAGAATGTTTAAAGGTATCTCAAAAATGAATGTTGGAAATGTAAATATAAATAAGGAACTTTTTATCATTTATGGTGGACATGTGATAAAGGAAAGAAATATTGGAGTAGGATTCACATCTTAATACAGAAGATTCTTAAAGTGAATATAAAGATAAAACAAGATACTTTTTTGGGGGGGTTTAATGGATAAAGAACTGGGAAAAAATGGAACCTTGATGTTATATATGTTGACAGCAGCAAGAATACCTTATGCACAAAAATGGAAGGATACTTTTTCTCACAATGGACAAATGGCTACAAAAGTTGATAAGAATTAGAAGCTATTGTTTAATTGATTGCTTTGATTAAAGAAAAGAATACAATCAATTTTCTTTCTACCTGAGAACCGTTTTTGGACTTTCTGCCTTAGGTGGAAAAAAAAATGAAACTTTGATTTTGGGTTTTGCTGATTAGATAGGTTTATTGTTATAGAAATGGTTATTATTATTTAAAGTAAAATGTTGAGGAGGTATGTTACATTCTACTGCACCAAAAGGACTTGGAAGTCAATGCTTTTCTTCTTTTTCACTCTTTTACCCTAGATTTTTTTTTTCTGTTCCCCGTTTCCTCTCCTATTCTCCCATTATTTTCATTTTTCTTTGTATTTCTGTATTTTATATTTTGATAAACTAATAAAATATGAAATCCAGAACACCTAAATGAAGAGACATATTATATCAATTGAAGGCTTTGGAAAAGACTGGCTGGGAAGTCCCTTTTGCCTGAATACAATACCATTGTCTCTGACATTATGACTGACCTGATCAGTCATGATCATGATCTTTCCATAGCGGAGGCTTTTGAGCGAGTCTTCATCATCATAGCTCTGCTTATATTGGAGCCCCACAATCTTAATAATGTTGTTAATTTCAACATTCTCCATTATCTGAAAAAAAACAACCCAGAATTTACTTAGATTCAGAATATGAATTTATTCTGCTCACTTTAACCCTGGAGAGAGGGCATTGCTAAGTACCAATCAACCCAACCCACCTATTCATTTTGTCAATGGCTGATGGCAACTCAAAGCAGATGGCTGGATAAAGGAGAGATATCATCAAAGGAAGTAGGGATGATACTTTTAGACTGTTTTTTTTTGGGGGGGGGGGGGAAGACTGTTTTTCTATTTCAAATATTTATTGACAAAGAGAATCAAACATTCTTCCTGATATTTTATTACTGATTCTCAGCAGCATAACTTGGGGAGGGGGGGAAACCCCTCCAGGTACTGCAAATAACCTATATATACAGTCACATTTCAGTGAAGATTCACTTGGGTAGAGGAATAGTCATTATACAGTTGAAGAACAATAAAACTCTAACTTCAAGAACTAATCACAGCATGGTTTTATAAATGCGCTTTTGAGCTAAAATTTAAATGAAGGCTAATGCTTCTAGCTTTGCAGAACATTTTTTTTTTAAAAAAAAACCATTTCAAATACAGGTAGTCCTCGATTTACAACCATTCAATGACCAAAGTTACAATGGCACTGAAAAAAGTGACTTATGACTATTTTTCACATTTACAAACACTGCAGCCTCCCAAGAGTCATGTGTTCAAAATTCATCCATTTGACCCATACTTATGATGGTTGCAGTGTCATGGGACCAAGTGATCTCCTTTTATGAACTTCTGACAAGCAATCGGTGAGGAAGCCAGATTCACTTAACAACTGTAGCAAGAAAGATTGTAAAATGGGACAGAACTCACTTAGCAACTGTCTTGATTAGCAGTGGGAATTTGGGGCTTTATTGTGATCTTAAGTTGAAGACTACCTATAAGGACCACATGTTTGCAAAGTATTGCTAACTAACCTGTTTGTGGGAGGCTTCCCGTACGTTCAGAAGTTTTCCTCGCAGTGGAAATACTCCAAATTTGTCCCTACCCACAACTCCAAGGCCAGAAACAGCTAGTGTCTTAGCTGAATCTCCTTCTGTCAAAATGAGCGTGCAGTTGATAGAATTCTTGCTCCCTAAAAGAGAATTAAATATCATAACCCAGAGCTCCATTTAATAGTACACTACAGATGCTCCAAATCTTGTGATTCCAAGAAGTAGAGATTTCATTCATGTTTTGGTAAAATATAATTGATCTGGGGTTCAGAAGAAGGAGATGAATAATTTTGAAGAGTTCTTGCTGCTCCCTGAGCTTGTTTTCTTGTAGATGTTTTATTATACAATTTATTATATTAACATCATCAGTACTAATAAAAAGTGGGGTTTGTTCTCAGTGTTATATTCAAGTGCTTGCCCTGTCAGCGTTGATGGAAATGGTCTTGGAAGTTCTTTGGCTGGGCTGCTTACTGCTAGCTTGTTTGGTAGTTCTTGATTGGTGCATTGTTTACTTCTTGTTCATTGGTCTGTGTTGCTCTTGATGTTACTCTCTGCTTATCTAGGCGTTGATTGCTAGTGAGGAGGTATTTTGGTCTTTTTGTTCCCTTTTTTGGCTTATTATTTTCTCCTTTGAATGATATATAGATGTCACCTAGTTTGGGTAATGAAATTTCTACAACAAAACAACAAAGCTCAGAGAGCATCAAGGACCTATTTCAATTCTGAGCTATAAAAACTCGTCTACAGTGTAAACTGCCCCAAAGTGAAGATTTGGTTCTTTTCTATCTATTAACCCAAGTACCCTAATCCTCCACACAGTACCTACACCATTTCTGTAAATGTAAACTAAATTTGAACCTTGTATTCAGGAGTAGCATAGTCTTACAACAGAGGTGAATAGCCTTCTTACAATCTGGAAGGGCAGGACCAACATTTTTAGTATTATTATGTCCTGACATTTGAGAATTTCAGTTGTTTTAAAGGACACAAAAAAGGTTATGCCAGAAGCATTCAGCATCCTCATCTTGAAAAAATTATTGGGGTGTCAAAAAGGTGGCTGAAGGGCTGAGAGACTGAAGGATTACTTATCCCTGTACCCATCAACTTAAATATAACACTTGAACACATACCAGCATCATTGGCATCATCCAGTTTAGGAATTCCTTTAATTCGAGTGTGCTTAACAGCAGAACATTTTTTATTTAGTTGTGTCTGGGCTTTAAATCTGACCCAGTTCAAAATGCTTTCCACTATGCCACAACCGATAGCCTAGAAGGAAGTGAAAAATGTTGTTGAAAGAATTCTGAATTGTCTTATTCCTGGATTGATTCATTTTTTCATCATCAGAATTCACAGAACAAATTATGAAGCAAATTGTTTAGTACTTACCCCCTTGATGAACTTCTCACTGAATTTGCATGTTGAACCAAAATTCTTTGCTTGAAGAGTCATATTCTCCTTTGTTTGGGAGTCAAAAGTTGGATTTTCAATCAAGCTGTTTATGAACACCCACATATGATTCTTCACCTGGAATTAGGAAGCAGGTAATATTAAAGATTGTATGTTGGTCAATCACTAAATAAAACAAGCTAAAAGTAGGATTTCTAAAGGCAACATTTATTGGCTTAAAATGCTATACGGCATCTGAAAGCTAGGTTATGCAAGGCTTTAGATTCAAAGGCACAAATGTATTTTAGAGCACGTAAGAACATACACAGTGAAGTTGTCTGAAACTTTTTAAAACACATTTTCCTGAGATTATGTAGCAACTGCAGAATTACAAGACACATTCATTTTAAGGAATAGACAAATGCTACATGAGCGCCTTCATGTGCTACAAAGCCTCTTCTTGCCTTCAAATCTGAAGTGTGGCACGGTCCTAATAAAATATATATTTTGTAATTACTTTTCTCCCACTCAGGCTTTTTGCATCCCATCATGCTATCATTGAAAATATTCCTTTATTTGCACACTATTTTACCCAGTCTATATTTATTATTGGAGCATAGTGAGGACAGTTGGACAGAATTACTAAAGATTTAACTATTTTTGTATAAGACTGAAGCATTAAACATAAATTTTTCAATTCGAATAAGTATGAGATGGGTAAAAAAGAAACATTTGAGAGTTATACCTGAAAAGGCTTTACTGCAACTCCACCTTTGTTTTTTTTTTTAACTACATCTATGAGTTTGTTGATAATCTGATCAGCAACATAGTCTACATGTCTGCCACCCTAGAAGAAAAGTGATTTTTAAAGAGGATATTACATGTATTTTGACAATGCAGACACATCAAAGTATAAAAGTAGTTATTAGCACAGTAGCCTAAAATATTTACACAAATTTTATTAAGTAAAATCTGTTTTAATAGAAATTTGCTATACAGGTAGTCCTTGACTTATGACAATTGGGCCCAACATTTCTGTTGCTAAGTGAAACATTTGTTAGGTGAGTTTGCCCTATTTTACCATCTTTCTTGTCAGTTATTAAATTAATCACTGTGGTTGTTAAATTAGTCATGTTGTTAAGTGAATCTGTTTTCCCCATTCACCTTGCTTGTTGGAAGATCGCAAAAGGGGATCACATGATCCCAGGACACTGCAACAGTCATAAATATAAATCAATTCCCCAAGCAATTGAATTTTGATCACATGACCACGGAGGGGGGGAGGCACAACAGTCATGTGAAAACTGGTCCTAAGTCACTTTTTTCAGTGCCGATCACCAAACGAACTATTATAAGTTGAAGACTACCTGTATGTGTTGTTGTAACAATCAATCATTTATTTCTTCATAATTCTCATTACAATTTCTCTACATTGTTAATTAGGTTCAAAGAAAAGCTTAAGAAAAAATAACTCCAATGTAGCCTCAAAAAGTCTACAATTAGAGTCCATTTTCAGGTAATGATCTTGAAATTGTATTACATTACCTATGTATTTTAATTCTAAACTATGGCAGGAAGATTAAGTTTAATAAAACACAAGATGCAGAATTGTTTATTTTATTCTATTATATACAACATGGATATATTTAACAGTTTAGATACTTAAGCAAAATTTTAACCTTTCAGAAATGTTCAGAATAAAAAAAAGCTGCAAGTCATCTACCAGAACAAATAGATGCTTAGTAAGAAAAGTTTCTTTTCTTCACTGAATGCTTCGATAAGGTATGATTAGATGGCAGATTCACAATACCCTTGTATACTTTTGTAACTGTTTACCTTAGTTGTAGCAATACTATTGACAAAGCTAACTTGTTGGAAGCCCCTTTCACTCATGGTTAGACATACTTCCCATCGGTCATTAACTTCTTCATGGATTATTTTCAGTGCATTGCCAGTTTCGTCCACTTTATCATTTAAGTACATGTCTACATAACTACGGAATCCTTTGACCTACAGAGACAAGCGCAAATATTTCTACTTTAAAAAAAAAAGTTGCCTTGACTATTAACATGTGAAAAAAACGGGCCAGTGAATTTTTGCATACTAGCAGATTTGGTTTTGCCCATTTAGTAACTCACAGGTAACTTCTTTCCATTTAAGAATACTTGGATGTTTTTAGCTGATCCTGCAATATCATAGGCTCTGCGAGACATAAGAGCCACAATATCTTTATCCAATGCAGTCATTTTAAATTTGGACAGGTCAGGCTGGAAAGTAACACATGTGAAGTCCTGGCCATCAAAATTCTTCAATTGTGTCTCTCCTGCTTTAGTCATATTGTCAGTCCAAGTCTGCAAAGGAATCAAGACCAACAGAATTGTTAGATATATTGGAGGGGGAGGATACATTCCTTCTACAGAATATAGTTCTTCATCTAGGCTTAAAATGTATGTAGCTTGTTGGCCCAAACTATCTTGATTTCATCCCTTATACTTATCACTAAATATTTGAGATATGCTTATCTCTAAGTGTTGAGATGCTGAAATAGATGAAAAAATAAAATAAAATATGAAACAAATTTAGGAGCTTTGGGGCCCATAATTTAAAAACAGTGAAATCAGTTATTTTTGCAAAGTCTCTTATACCTGTTTAAAAAGCTTTTTATATTCGTTGCATGCTGTTTCCACTGTAAATTTGTTACTGAATATATTGCACAACTTTGCACCATAACCATTTCGACCACCTGGAAAATATTAATTATACACAATAATATTTTGTAACATTGAAGAGATATACATTTCAGTTACAGGGCACATATGTTTACTCATAATCCCCCACTAAAATCAATAAAATTATTTCACAAATATGCATGCATGCAGTGGTATTTCTATAAATAATTGATTAGACTCCATATCCTGTTGCAGACAAAAATGTATGGTTGCTTTTAGAAAAATGGAGCACTACTTGCTCCTTTGCTGTATTCAAAGAAAAGTGAAAGAATAAAGATAGGGGCAGTTCTCCATCTCTGCAATAAGACAAATGGTAAAAATTAAGACATACAATTTTAAATAATCCATGTTTTCTTATCTCTTATTTAGCTACCACTGATTCCAGTGCACTCAATAAAAAATAAGAGGCTTCATTTATTCATGTATTTTTTGTGTGGAAGAGATTGCAATATAGAAACAGAATGTAGATGGAATAAAATTTTGATTTCCTGATCATTCACATCTTGCAGTTGTGTAGTAGAAACATAATTGTGAAACTTCAGATGCAACTATTCATATGAGAGGCAATTAAAGATTTAAAAGTGACTGCCTTGCAGGTTTTTTTTTCCTGACCTGTGACTTTCTTTTCATCATCATCATAGTTGCTGGAGGTTAAAAGATGTCCAAAAATAAGAGCTGGCACATAAATTTTTTCTACTTGATGCTCTACAATAGGGATTCCTTTTCCATTGTTCCACACAGAGATTGAATTATTCTCCCTAGAAAGAGAAGATTAAACTGATATTCAAAGAACTGCAAAGCAAACTTCTTGTCTCTCCAGATTAAACAAAAAAAGATATTATTCACTGAATGATAGGAAACTCTCAACAGCAAATTCAATTACACTGTGATCAGAAAGTCAAATTCTATGCTAATCATTACACTATTATTTAAATCTACAAGAATACAGATTCAGTTTCAGAGAAATGCATATTCTATTCCAATGAACCAATCTTCAACGAAAGTCAGAAATATTAAATAATATTAAAGCAAGACTTACGGGTCAATTGTAACTTTGATACAAGACATATTCTTATCTCTCTGTTTGTTATCAGCAGCATTGACTAAAAGAAAGAAATACAGTTTTTTAGTGATTGTTAACACTTGCAAGTTAAATTTAGTCTTCAGTTTATACAACACTTAATTTCAACAAGTTTTTCCAAACAAGAGCAAGCATTTTGTAGCCTTTTCATGAAGCCAATTCAATTGCAAAACTTTTGTATAGTTATTCATCAACTATGGACCTAGAAAAAAATATTCTCATAAAATATTTATGCCTTCACTACGAATATTTTATCCACGTGTCAACATACCTAATATTTCATCGAAGATTTTATAAAGTCCAGGAACAAAGGTGACATCCCTGTAATTCAGTCCTTCATCTTCATCAAACACCCACATTTGCTAAGAAGAAAAGAGTAATTTTATTTATCTGCTGCAATATCTTTAGGTACCCTGAAATATATATTTTAACCGGTGTATTAATTTTAATAAAAATCTGTTTTTTAAAAAGCATACTTTTGTTTTCATAAATTTAGACAATTGTGTTCACGTTAATCATAAATGGTTTAATAAATGTTTAGAATAATATTAATAAAGTTTCAAGTGACCTTGGAGCTCTTCTAGTTCAACCCCCTGCTCAGGCAGGAAACCCTATACCCGTGATGGCAAACCTTTTAGAGACCGAGTGCCCAAACCACAACCCACTTATTTATCGCAAAGTGACAGGGCTGCATCAGCATTGTGGTGCCCTCAGGGGGGCAGGGGGCATGGCTGTAGTGATCACAGCAGACTGGGTGGGCATGGCCACCTCAATGTTGCTTGTGGAGGAATTCCTGTGGGGGCCAGGCAGGATTAGGGAAGATCCAGGGGATCTCTGGAGGGTGGGGTGGTGGGCAGGAGGCTTGTCCTGTGGGGTGAAGCGATGGCGGGGGCATTGCCGTGGGGCAAGGCAAGGCGAGGCAGCTGCTACCTGACACCATTGGCCCCCACACACCGAGGCCAGCAAGCACATGGGGCCAACGGTGTCTGTCAGCAGCCATAGCCTGCTGGCCCCTCAACCAGCGCACTCTGGGCTCCGCAGCCCGCTGCCAAAACTGGACCAGCCCAACAGCAAGCAGAGTAGGGGAGGGGCACATGATGCAGACCGCCAGACACACCTACTCCGTCCCATCTGTTTTTGCTTGTGGTTGGAGAGCATGTCGTTGCTGGTCATCTCCTCGACCCCCTTGAAGATCACCATGACAACGATAGGGATCCGGCTTTCCCTGCTCAGGGTGGCCTTTTGCCTTCTGAGTGTGGTTTACCACCTCTATGTGGGGCTTCCTAGCCAACCGCTTCGCCTCCTTCGTGCTGGGCGGGCCTGCAGCTCTGGGTGGTGACCTAATGGACCTGCGTGAGCAGCTGGTGGCTGCAGTAGGTATCAAGGTGCATGAGGGGAATACGCTCCACCCGCAGGCCAAGGGAAAGACCCTTGAGGGAGCTGAGGAGATGGGATGGAGTAGGTGCTACTGGTGCCGCTGCAGCACTGCTGCTGGAGCTGCCAGCTGCTCGCGCAGGTCCATTAGGCCGCTGCCCAGAGCTTCAGGCCCTCCCAGCATGAAAAAGCAAAGCAGTCGGCTAGGAAGCCCTGCGTAGAGGTGGTAGAGCACACCCTGGTCCAGCAGGCAAAAGGCCACCCTGAGCGGGGAAAGCTGAATCCCCATCGGCATCATGGCTGCCTAGGCCCAGCACAGATGGGGGATGGGGAGAGGCACACAATACTAGCTGGGACAGGGAGGGCCATATTGCTGATGGGGATTCGACTTTCTTTGCTTGGCGTGGCCTTTGGCTTGCCAATTCTCCTTTGTGCTGGACGGGGCTGCCGCTTCAGGCAGCGGCCTAATGGACCTGTGCAAACTGCTGGCGGAGGCACGCGTACCCAGAGATGGCTCTGAGTACCGCCTCTGGCACTAATGCCATAGGTTCGTCACCACTGCCACGTCTCTTCTTAAAAACTTCCAGTGTTGGAGCATTCACAACACTGGAGGCAGGTTGTTTCACTGATTAATTGTTCTAACTGCCAGAAAATTTCTCCTTAGTTCTAGGTTGCTCCTCTCCTTGATTAGTTTCCATCCATTGCTTCTTGTCCTGCCTTCAGGTGCTTTGGAGAATAACTTGACTTCTTCTTCTTCGTGGCAACCCGAGATATTGGAACACTGCTATCATGTCACCCCTAGTCATTCTCTCCATTAAACTCTTTCTATAGTCTCAACATCTTTTTTACATTGTGGTGACCAGAACTGACTGCAGTATTCCAAGTATGGCAACAAAGACAAACAGATATTAATTATAAATTACTTGGCTGATAAAATATAGTTTGTCAAGAAAAACCTTAATTATAATTTTAATTTGATGGCACATTATACTTAGGAAAATATTTTACAATTTAGGGCAATTTATCTTGTCTTTCCCCCAAACAAAAGATTTTTTACCTGAGTGACTTGCTCCACAGATCCAATGTATGTATCCGGCCGAAGCAATATATGCTCCAACTGAGATTTCTTTTGATAGATTCTTTCAACAGACAACCTCCTTGAATTATCATTCTTTATCTTCCTCACTTTGGGGTTCACATCAAGAACCTCAATGGAAATAAAACAAGAAAAATTGCAAAGAGAAATTCATTCCCTAAATGCCTGCTTGTTTGTAATAGGAATTCAGGTGGGACTAAAATACATAGAACATATATGTCAGAGCTAAATGTTGAATGAACAAAACAAACTGAAGAGAGTAAGGAGATAGATGCTGCTGGAGGTCAGCTCCAGATTAAACATCTTAGTTGGCTGGGTATTGCAGGAAATAAACATTGTACAAAAGCAGCTTCACATCAAATTGAAAAATGTCCAATGCATACTGCAAAGTCCATTCCATGTCCTGTCCTATCCACATAAAAAGGTGAAATGCAATCTTATGTTGCTTCCTCATTCAGAACTGATATGATTGGGTCAATACTGATCCCCAGTTGTTCTCTGTAGGAGAATACGCACAGGAGAAAGAGATATTCTAGGGAGTGAGTGATTAAACATGCTGCTCTCCAGGATAAAATCTGTCCCCAACCTATCCTTCCATAAGAACCTAAAGTCCTGGCTCTGCAAATTGGCCTGAGGATTCAATGGGGGAGCTGTACTTTGGAGGTGACTGCTAGATTGACAGTAGATTCTATCTCTCACCCTAGCTTTCTGCTCCCTACTTACCCATCTTTTTTAGTAGTTGCATCAATATACTCCCTTGTTTTCTTTTTCCTTATTATTCTATTATTTTACTTTTGTTTAAATTTCTTTTTTTATGGTTGTAAGTTGCCTAGAGTAGCCCTATGTGAGATAAGCAGCAAATATAATTAATAATTATAATTAACTGCAACACTAAAGCTGATCATGAATGAATATGTGTGTCCCTGAATAATGTTGCAGGATCCAATCTGGGTCAGTCCCTAGTAAGATAGAAGTTCCTTGAAGATGGGCTCCAGAACCATTCGAAAAGCTCAGAATACAAAACCTCTGATCCTGGTGACCGACCCATATTGGATCCTGCAATTAAACCTGATGTTCAATTACATCATCAGGGTCTATCTGCCTTAAAAGGCTCCTGCTCCATTTAGCATGCTTGTAGTTTATCTGTGCCTCCTCCATACCAGTATAGGTGGCAAGTTGATTGCCTCCCACTTGGAAACTTGCTGTCTGCCAGCTTGGCCAAATTATTCCCCTCTCTACAATGTAATTCATTAGCCTTTAAAAAGATTTCTATTTCTCTAATGGAACTGAAAGAAAAAAACAACCTTGCTGATTCTGTTAGACTTGAAGAGCTAACCATTTCAGGTTGACCTGATCTTTTATAATAGAAGGCACAAACTTGGTAGTGTCAGTTGTAAAATAGGCTTAAACACTGTGTATACACATTCAGAAAGCAAACATCTTAGTTCCATTCATAGATTCAAAACGATCCAAGTGAATATGCAACACTCCCATCAGATAATATTGCTTAATAAATTAGATTTTAAGGGGCAAGTAGAAATGATGAAAAAAATGGTAGTTCTTTAGGAAGCCCTCCATAGGTGAATTGCACCCAGAAGCTCAGCTGTAACCAGTACATCTTACTTAGCAGAAATGTTGCATAGGTATAGGAAGATATGCTCTTAATGCTCATACTGATACATTCTGGACTAGCTGTAGTTTCTTAGTGATGGTCAAGTGCAGCCTCCTGTGAAACACATTGCAACAATCCACATACAAGGTGGCCAAGACATGAGTAACTATGAGTAGGGATTCTTTGTTTAGGAAAGGGTGCAATTGGCACATCAGATAAATTTGGGCAAAAGTCTGGCTTTTATTGCTCTTAGATATAAGCTTTTGCAAATTAAGCCTCTTTTCATTAAATATAGTTTATGAAAACGGAGGCTTTTTAACTTTTCTATTTTATGACTCAAATACGGTGACCTGGATCCAACTTGTAACACTCAGTAAGTCAGCATCCCTTAAACTACCTTACCATGTCCATCAAACACAATTCAAATGGGATACAGATGATGGGAGTCATAATTTCAATATAGCTCAAACCAATCAGTGGGAGAAGGATTCTGATCCCAATCAGTTTCAAGGTAAATCAAAACAAATAAAAGAGAGAAAAATCGCGTCAGAAAGAATGGAAGAAAGGCGGGAAGCCCAGGATAGACAGAAAAGCTTACCTTGAGAGGAGAGGAACAGTCGAGATCCATAGTAGCTTCAGAAGCGAGAAAAAAAGCGGATCGGGATATCTGGCTTTCGCAAAAAGTCAAACCAAGCCAGAAAAGGAATGTCAGCGCCTCAAAATATTCGCACTGTTGGGGGATAGAGGGGTGGGGGACTAAGGTTTGCGACGAGAAAAGCCGCGGTCGCCTCCCCGCCAACCGCTCTCCTAACCAACCGCTCCCGCGCGTTTTGCTTACACAACGTCTGAGCAAAAGAACACTTCCAGTTGAATCAGAGTTCAAAAAACACGGTTCAACCCGCCAAAATACATCTCACCAATCAACGAAGGCCTCCATATAGACCTGACCAATCCTTGCCGAGGACAAGAGCGGATAAGCAGAACGAAAGAGGGGAGGGACGTTTACCCAGCCAATAGAGACAATACTAGAACATTCAAACACACGCACGCGCACGCGCGCACACACACACACACACACACACACACACACACACACACACACACACACACACAGACACACAAAAAAAAAAACAAAACAAAACAAAAAAAAGTTCGTGTGTAAGCGACGGGGCCGTACTTCGGGATTCGTGATGCTGGCTCAGGAATTCTGGGAGTTGAAGTCATAAAAGAGCCGAGGTTGCCTACCCTGGTATAGGTCAATGAGCCTAGTGCTGAAACAATGTCTAGCGTGCGACTTAGTTTGCAAATTAATCTCAATAGGCAATGCTTAAATATATTCTGTTGGCACGCGTAAAATATTTTATTTCTATACGTAAGGCAGCGATTATTCTAAAATAAGTAATCTAGGAGTGTAAAAAGATCGATCTTGGAAAAAGGATCATAATAACTATTTTTATTAACCCAACAACCAATTGAACAAAGAGCAAGCTTTAATTTTAACGTTTTACCTCACTCCTTTTGGCTGGTTCCAACTGGTCTGTCCCGCTTACTGACTTATATTTTGTTTTTGGGTTTTACTCCGATTATTGTCAACTGCCCGGAATCATTGGAAGTAGAGTTGCATACAAGTTTAAATAATAATGCTTATCAAAAAAAGAAATTTGTTGTGCTATCGTGATTGGAGTCCTTGGAGCAGTTCCTAAAGGACTCCTTCGATATTTGAAAAATTTGAATTTGTCGGATCAAAACACTCAAATTAAAAAAAACCGGCTAGAAATTGCCTGTATTTTCTGATTATCTTAATAATTCTTACGTCTTTGGTTATGACATGAATTATTAGGCTTTCAGTCTTTGAATGTGGATTTAATTATGGATGATTGATTGATTGATTAACTGGTGCTTTTGAAGAGGGGGTCAACTTATTTTCCAAAGCATCAGCGGGCAAGACAAACAATGGAAACTAATGAAGGAGAGAAGCAATCTGGAACTGAGGAGAACTTCCTAACAGTGAGGACAATTAGTGGAACAGCTTGTCTTCAGAAGTTGTAAGTGCTTTATCACTGGAGGCTTTCAAGAAAAGACTGGACAATCATTTATCTGAAAGAGTATATGATCTGGTTGTGCAGGGGGTTGGACTAGAAGATTGTCAAGATCCCTTCCAGCTCTATTCTGATTGATTGATTATCCTCAGTAATAATAGTATTAATAACTTCAACAACTGATAAAATGGAAAATATTTTAGTAGCTGTTTTGTTTTTAAGGGAATGAGTTGATAAATAATACACCGAGAAGTGTTTGCTGTATCTAATATACTGATAGAAATACCCCAAAAGCCATTAATACTTTAACATAGTGAGGAAAGTCAGCTCCCCAGAGAAGAAAATATTAAAAGGGCAAAAAAATATACCGTATTTTCCGGCGTATAAGATGACTTTCTAAAGCAGTGATTCTCAACCTTTCTAATGCCGTGACCCCATAATACAGTTCCCCATGTTGTGGTGACCCCCAAGTGGGTGTGGCCACCAATAAGAGGGAGTAGGACAGCTAGGGAAAAGGGAAAAAAATGGCGGACAGCATGGTTTGGTGACCCCCGTGAAATGGTCATTTGACCCCAAATGGGGTCTCGACCCACAGGTTGAGAACCACTGTTCTAAAGCATGCAAATCAGCTCCAAAGTTGGGGGTCGTCTTATACGCCGAGTTGTCTAATATGCCGGAAAATACGGTATTTCCTCAAAAAGGATTTTAAAAGCAGAAGCCAACTCTGCCCCCAAGTTTCTCTGTCCCAAGCAGAAGCTAGCCCTATATAAATGCAGATGTAAACCATCAGAAAGGCCCCAGCTAGAAGATCAAGAAGACAAAGACCTAAAATCTGTATACCCCACCTGAGATGGGACATAATAAGACTAACCCATCACTATCAAGAATACCAGAGAGGCACACCTAGATTCAGGTCAAATACATACCACAGGAAATAGCCTCAAAGTTCATGCCACAGGAACAGGAAACTATTCCAAACAAAAGGCTTTCAGAGGGTATAAAAACTTACTCCACATGTGCTCAGCCCTTTTCTTTTTTGTCTCCTCTCTGCTGCCAGAACCATCTTTCTGTCTGGCTCTTCAATAAACTGCAACTTTCTTTCTAAAGCAGTCGCCATGTTGCTTATTTATCCCCGGTTTGGATGAATCAGGATGAAGACTTTTCTTTCAACAATAGAACATAGAATAGAGTTGGAAGGGACATGGAGGTCTTCTAGTCCAACCCCCTGCTCAAGGAGACCCTATATCATTTCAGATAAATGGCTGTCCAGTCTCTTAAAAGTCTCCACAACTTCTAAAAGCGAGCTATTCCACTGGTTCATTGCTTTCACTTTAGGAAATTTCTTCTTAATTCTAGGTTGCTTCTTTTTTATTAGTTTCCAATAATAATGATACTAAGGAAGCTGATTACAGGCAGTACTTGACTTATAATTGGCTATTTAGTGAATGTTCAAAGTTACAATGCATCTCCTGAGGGCTATGTGCACACACCTGTGGTGATTTACGTTTTTTGCTGGAAATGGTATTTACTTCCAATTTCTGGCAAAAAACACCTGTTGTGGACAATGAATTTGCTTAATGATTGTGACATTCACTGCTGCAAAAATGTCAGTCATGCTGGGAATGATCAGTGGAAAAAAAGAGAAGGTGCTGTCCTAGTATCCTTTGGTTGGAACACTATAAAGGATGACACCGGGATGACCATAACAGAATAACAGAGTTGGAAGGGACCGTGGGTCTTCTAGTCTAACTACCCACTCAGGCAGGAAACAAATGGTTGTCCAATCTTTTAAAAACCTCAGGGTTGGAACACCCACAATTTCCGGAGACAAGTCATTCCACTGATTAATAATTGTTCTGTCAGAAAACCTCTTAGTTCTAGGTTGGTTCTCTCCTTGATTAGTTTCCTTCCATTGCTTTTTGTCCTGTCTTCAGGTACTTTGTAAGATAGGTTGAATTCCTCTTCTTTGTGACAGTCCCTTGGATATTGGAACATTGCTATCGGTATCATATCACCCCTAGTCCTTTTGTTTATTAAACTAGACATACTCAGTTCCTGCAACCATTCAAATTTTTTAGCCTTCAGTCCAATCATAATCATAATCATCATAATAATAAAGTTGGAAGGGACCTTGGACGTCATCTAGTCCAACCCCCTGCTCAGGCAGGAAACCCTATACCATTTCAGACAAATGGCTGTCCAGTCTCTTCTTAAAAACTTCCAATGTTGGAGCATTCAGCACTTCTTGAGGCAGGTTGTTCCACTGGTTAATTGTTCTAACTGTCAGGAAGTTTCTCCTTAGTTCTAGGTTGCTTCTCTCCTTGATTAGTTTCTATCCGTTGCTTCTTGTCCTGCCTTCAGGCGCCTTGGAAAATAGCTTGACTCCCTCTTCTTTGTGGCAGCCCCTGAGATATTGGAATACTGCTATCATGTCCCCCCTCGTCCGTCTCTTCATTAAACTAGACATACCCAATTCCAGCAGCCTTTCCTTATATGCTTTGGCCTCCAGTCCCCTAATCATCTTTGTTGCTCTTCTCTGTACTCTTTCTAGAGTCTCAACATCTTTTTTACATCATGGTGACCAAAACTGGATGCCGTATTCCAAGTGTGGCCTTACCAAGGCATTATAAAGTGGTATTAATACTTCACATGATCTTGATTCTATCCCTCTGTTAATGCAGCCCAGCACTGTGTTGGCCTTTTTGGCAGCTGCAGCACACTGCTGGCTCATGTTTAAGTTATTGTCCACTAGGACTCCGAGGTCCCTCTCACAGTTACTACTATTGAGCAAGGTACTGCCTATACTATACCTGTACATTTGGTTTTTCTTGCCTAAATGTGGAACCTTACTTTTTTCACCATTGAATTTCATTTTGTTAGATAGCACCCAGTGTTCAAGTCTGTCCAGATCCTTGTGTATCCTAAGCCTGTCTTCTGGAGTGCTGGCTATTCCTGCCAGCTTGGTGTCATCTGCAAATTTCATGATTTCCCCATCTATCCCCTTGTCCAAATCGTTGATGAAGATGTTGAAGAACACTGGGCCCAAAACAGAGCCCTGGGGTATCCCACTACACACTTCCCTCCATGTAGATGTGGTTCCATTGAGGACCACACGCTGAGTACAACCGGTCAGCCAGTTACGGATCCATCTGGTGGTGATGCTGTCTAAACCACATTTTTCTATCTTGTCAAGTAGTAGGTTGTGATCTACTTTATCAAATGCCTTACTGAAGTCCAAGTAAATTATATCCACAGCATTCCTCTGATCCACTAATTTTGTCACTTGGTTAAAGAATGCAATAAGATTTATCTGGCATGATCTGTTTTTGACAAACCCATGTTGGCTTTTAGTAATGACTTTGTTTGTCTCTAGGTGTTCGCATTCGTTGTTTGATTATCTTTTCCAGAATCATCTTTGTTGCTCTTCTCTGCACTCTTTCCAGAGTCTCAACATCTTTTTATATTGTGGTGACCAAAACTGGATGCAATATTCCAAGTGTGGTCTTATCAACACATTTTAATTTGTATTAATACTTTGCATGATCTCAATTCTATCCCTTTGTTAATGCAGCCTAGGACTGTTGGCTTTTTTGGCAGCTACAGCTCACTGCTGGTCCATATTTAAATGATTGTTCACTAGGACTTGCAAGATCCCTCTTGCAGGTATTATTATTGAGCCAGGTGCACCTATTCCATACCTGTGTATTCGATTTTTCTTGCCTAAATGTAGAACTTACTTTTCTCATCACTAAATTTCATTTTTTTAAGATAATGACTCAGTGTTCAGGTCTGTCAAATCCTTCTGTATCTTGAGCCTATTTTCTGGAGTATTGGCTATTCCTCCCAGTTTGGTGCTGTCTGTAAATTTGATAAGCTCTCATTTTATCCTCTCTTCTACATTATTGATGAACATATTGAAGAGTACTGGGCTTAAGATAGAGCCTTGGGGTATCCCACTGCATACATGTAGATGCAGTTCCATTAAGAACTACACATTGAGTGCAATTGGTCAGCCAGTTACGAATTCATATGGTAGTTATGCTGTCCAATCCACATTTTTCTATCTTACCAAGTAGTAGGTTGTGGTCTGCTTTATCAAATGCCTTAGTGTAGTCCAAGTAAATTATATCCACAGCATTCCTCTGGTCCAGTAATTTTGTCACTTTGTCAAAGAATTTGTCTTGGCACAATCTGTTTTTGACAAACAATATTGGCTTCTGGTTATGACTTTGCTTGCCTATAGGCGTTTGCTTGATTATCTTTTCCAGAATCTTTCCAGATACAGATGTCAGGCTGGTAAATCTGTAGTTTCCTGGATCCATTTTTTCCCCCTTCAGATTCCATCAGATCCATGGTGGATCTGAAAGAGAAAGTGTGAGACACAACTGAATGGCTGATGATGATGATGACACAACAAAGGTTGTAAAAACAGACACAATACATGGTGACCTGCTTAATGATCAGCACAACTTAGAAACCATAATTTTGGGCTCAATTATGGTTGTAGGTCATGGGCTACCTGTACAGAACAGAGGGACGATGGCATGCATTTCTTTCAAAATGATGCCCCTGTCAAGTAATTTTAAGAAAAATATAACATAAATACCAGGACAATTTAGAAATAAACCACCGTTTGAGCATGTGCAAGAAATAGGCGGGGATAGTGATGCCCATCATATGGCACCATGCGCAGTAGTTCAGTAGGCAGTGAGGAGTGGAAAGAGAAAGTTGGTTGCAGTTGACATGTCCACTAGATCAATTTTTAAAATGAAACAGTGGCTTGCATTGCACCACTTCAACGATGACAATACACTTCATGATGCTATTACAGGATGACTTCATTCCCAGTCAGGAGATTATTTTGCAGAAGGAATTTCAAATCTTGTAAGATGTTATAAATGCCTCAATTTGAATGGCAATTATGTCAAAAAGTAATGTAATGTTGTTTTCTAATATGTATAATACAAGTTCTGTGTCTGCAAGTGTCTGTCATTGATAACCAAGCAGAGGTTTATTTCCGAATTGCCCTCATATAATAAGATATTTTGCCTGACTCTATTCTAAGGTTTGGATCATGTAACTGAAGGAAGTAAAACGAGGAACAAAAACATTTGAAATCAATGAAATCTGATGATTTCAAAGAATTTACAGCAAATGTGAGGAAGGTTGTATCTAATCCCCAATAATATTTGACAAGAATAGGCGGAATACAGTATCAAATTAAAACTCAGAAATAATGTTCCCTTATATGTCTGACTGGACTCACTTTTTCTCAACTAATATTGTTGCAGTTTGTGCAACTACAGAGGTTACCATTCAAAGAAGACAATACATTCTGATAATCTGACATTTATTTACAGGTGATCCTTTGACCTACAACCATAATTGAGCTTGGCAATTACAGTCATAGTTATGATAGTCATAAAATGGGTTGTCACATAACCAATCCAATTTTATATTTTTTTTTCCAGTGGTCATGGAGTGAGCTCTGTAGTCATTAAGTGAACCCCTTGTTTGCTATGGGCCGATTTTTACTGGAAACAGGAAATAAATCCTGGTTTACCTAAAGAAAAATTATAAATTGCAGCCATGTGACTGCGGGATGTTGCAAATTGCCATAAATGTGGGCTAGTTGCCAAACGCCCAAAATGTGATCACATGATAGTGGAAGATCGGAGGGTGGCCATCGGAGCTTCGAACTGGGTTGTAAGTAGGATCTCTACTTGCGGGATGTCTACTGTAATTTCAAATAATTGCTAAGAAATTGGTCATAAATTAAGGACTACCTGTACATCCCAAATACTAATCTTTTTGTCATTAATTTTAAAAAATCTATCAGAATATGCAGACTACAGACCCAAAGTTGCATATTCTTTCCAAAGCAATTGTGCCTTTGGAGTTCTTCTGACTGCCAAAACTTGTGGCATGGCTTCCTACTGATTTGAAGCACAAAAAGATATGAAAGCACAATAGAACCTAAGTAAACTCCGATTTCTCTCAAACTGAAACACAATAACGTGTTTACTCACTTGTGATGAGGTCCTATGTTCAGTGGCCTTTTCTCCTATCTGCTTAAAAATCCCCACATATGTTCATAATAGGGGAGCCTGAATTTAACATAGACTTAGAAATGGTCAACAGCAATGTTCTGATTGTATTTATTTATTTGTTTGTTTATTTGAAATACCATCTTTATTATTTTTACAAATAATTTGAACCAGTGAACATATCCAATACGCATTCTTTTTGCAAATTTCCTTCCAACAACCATTCTGTGAGGGGGAGGGTTAGAATGAGAGAAAATGACCGGCCCAAAGTCATGTAGCTGGCTTTCATGGCTAAGGCATGTCTTGAACCTGCTGTCTGTCCTAGTGCCTTAACCGCTAGATCAAACTGGCCAATGTACCAAATTTCATAAGGCAATTCCGCGGTTGTTATGTCCAAAACAAGCTAACAGTAAAAAGCTCAACCTCCAAGATCTCTTCTACCAACAGGGCAAACATTAGAATATAAACTGAGACCAAACAACAGTCCTTACTAGCACATACCTAGTTTGGGTATGAAACATCTGCAAGAAAACAAGCTCAGAGAACATCAAGGACCCCTCATTTCAGCCCTGAGCTACAAATATATTCCATTTTTAATTATGTCAAAAGGATAACTTATATCGTACAACCCTCACCATAAGATTATTTGTTTACCAGTAATCCTCAATTTATAACCGATCACTTAGTGACTGTTCAAAGTTAAAACAGACCTCCCCAGGAGTATTTATGACCAGGTTCCATAATTCCGATGGGCCTTTCCATTACATGACTGCAAGTGAATACTTGACAACTGGCCTGCATTTATGACCATGTTTTATGATGTTTTGGCAAAACCCAGCATTTATTTCTGATTTTCAGCAAAAATGAAAACAATGGGTTTGTTTAACATCCACTGCAAAAAAATAAAATAAAATAAAAAATAGGAAAATTGGGTTGATCATGTGAGTGACCCAATTTATGATTGTCATGACTTACAGTCGTAATGGGCAAGCTCCATTATGGTCATAAATCAAGGGCTGCCTGTATTTTATAATATTTGGCATTAAAACTAAACTTTAAGGCCTCCCCCCAAATCCTGATTAAATAATCAGTATGCAATGACTCCCCCATTGACTTTGCTTATCAAGGTCCCAAAAGCTGATCACACGATCCCAGGACACTGCAACCATCACAAATACATCTGGAATTTGATTACGTGACATGGGGATGCGACAAGGGTCGTAAGTGTGAAAAATGGTCATGTCGCTTTGAATGGTAACTAAACAAACTGTTGTAGGTTGAGGACTACCAGTATTGGTCTTCAACCAAAAGGCTTTCAGAATAACTATAGTAATAATTTATAATTACTACAAAATAATTTGTACTAATAGAGGACCTCTGTTCACAGGTTTATATCTAAAAGACTTAGCACAAAATATATTTTTTTAAAAAAATACATAGCAAGAAGTTGCTTTATAGTAGTAAGCAATTACAATATGGAAACATATATCAAAACATGATTTCAATTTTTCTAAATAGGCATTTTTCTTTAAAAAATATTGTTTTAAATCCTTTTAAAACTATTTTTTTTAAAAAATAAAAAAAATCTACAAATATAGGTTAAAAATTTTAATCTCAGTAAAAGGCTTTTATTTTGCAGACTTGTAACTGATAGATTCAGAAGATATTAGGAAACAGAGAGCAGATTTAAAAGCCAAAGAACAGCTATTAGTTGAAAAATGGCATTAGACAAATGAGAATTTTAAAAAACAAAATGGGTAATGTAATTGAAATTTATTTGAAAGACATAATTGTGAAGCAGTTTAAGTAACATATAAACAGCACCTTCTCTATACAATAGGAAAATTCAGAATTTATTTTGATTGTTTCCATAACTTAGCACATATAGTAAAATTGCTGGAAGCCCAAGCAAATGTAGCACCTCCATTAATTCTAAAAAAGACTTCAAGGCAGTCTTTGGAGGAGAGGCTTCCAGATCTTCTCTAGAATCTGGTAAACAACAATTTCAATCCAAAGCAACAATGTGGTTCTGACAAATAGGTATTGCCGTTTCAGGTAGCATTGCTGGGAATCATAGTTTGCATATCTTGGATAATGCTTTGGTACTTAGGCCTGATACCACAGAGAGAAAATGAAAAGAAATATAAAGATTACACCTATGCAGAATTTAGTGATTAGAATGAAAGTAAGTTTGTTTGAGGTGGCCATTTCAGGGGGTAATAAGTTGTGGAAAGGGTCCTTAAACCTTTGCTCTTTTTGCAGTTTCCTTCCCCTCATTTATTTTGGTCAACCACTATGAATCAATGACAAATGGAGATCCTGAGAGTTTCTGTAAACTGTATAGTTTGTGAAGACATCAAATAACATTTTCCTTGGCAAGAATTCTTTAGTTTTATCTTTTATCTTTCCAGGAAATGAGGGGGAGCATGAAAAAAAGTAAGTCCCCTCTCCCCATTAAATATTATACTATTGCTTCCAAACTCAGACACCCGGAGTTTGGTGTGGAGCTGAAAGAACTTGGTCCCTGAATCTGAGAGACTTTTACTTTTGCAAAGAAGCTTCTTTGCCCAACTGAAAATACAAATCACCATTTATGCAAAGCAAAAGCATTTATTAAGGGGAGTCAAGATTCTGCAGTACAAAAACAAATGATACATACATTTAGTATATATAATATATCAGAAAGCAATAAAAATATTGGTTACATGTAAGACCTGAACAATAGAAAACATTGATTCTAGACAACGTTCCACAAGTGGCAAACCTTTGGGTTACGTTACTCTTTCCAGCTGGGTTTGTATCTTTCTCAAAATTTCCAAGTGTATTTAGGGACTTTCAGAATATGTTTCTAATGTGTAGTTGCTGAAAAAGCAAGTTCTCACACATATGAAACAAATGGCCTTGACTCAGAAGAGAAATTAAAAAAGAAGTCCAGACTGCCATGTCAAAAGTGCTAATAACACCTTTTAATGTTAATAATGAAGCCTAAAATTTGAGTCAATATCATGGACACCACTTTTGCATGCCATTAATGTATTTTTTTGGAGATTTACATACAAGAGTATAGTTCCAACTTTATTATTGTTATAAACTAAGTTATACTCTACAGAGATGATTACAAAAGCTCTTTCTTTGGCTCTTTTCCAGATATGTTAATTTGACCAATAATATTTTAAGTCAGTGTTTCTCAACCTTAGCAACCTTAAGATACATAGACTTCAATTTCCCAAATTCCATAGCCAGCATGCTAGTTGGGAAATTCTGGGAGTTGAAATCCACACATCTTAAAGTTGCTGAGGCTGAGAAACACTGCTTTCTCTACATGCTATGTTTTTTGGGAAGAGAATATTTAGATTATTTATCTCATTAGTTTTTGAAGTAACAGCTCCATGATATTAAAGAGTGTACGTGTGCTATTAACCCATCTGCAGACCTCTCTTTGTCAGATACCACAGAATTCCCTTTTCAGGAATTTTATAGAAATAAAGGCACTTAATATTTCTTAAACATAACCATGACTAATGAATGTCATATTTTGACCAAGAAATGTATATATGAATATATATGTATATGCAAATATAATATTTTAAAATCGTCTCTATCTATATACTGAGACCAAAAGACAAGCAGTTCTGGCAGCTTGCAGTAAGATAATGGGTGGCCTTGCTTCTTTACACAATTCTTTTCTCAGCATGTGCTTTGCATCCTAATACCTTAATGCACGGGCCTCTTTCATTCAATCTGTTCCAACCTGGATGGTAACTAAGGCCTTCTGTTGTTCCCTGCCAGACTAATGATGTTTCTCCTAGGTGCTAATATCAAAAGTATTTTCCACACACAAAACTATCAGGGAATCTGAGCATCTCCAGCTGGTCTCCAGGAGGAATATACCCTTAAGTGGAATAGAGGCCTGTCCTCTTAAATATTGGGATGCTTTTCTCCAGTTTTCACAGTCTTGAGATTTGGAGTGGTTCACCTGAAGCGCCAAGCCATGCCAGACAGCTTTATAGATCCTGAAAATACAAACAATAGGAATTATACAAAAGAGGAAAGATGAAGTCAGCTTTTCACAATTCTTGAGCAGACAGTCTCTTGTGGAGGGAAAGCCTAGATATGCAAATAATTTCTGCTCTCCTTGCCTGTGTGCTCAGAAATATGTCTCAATAATCTTCCATGTGATTGACGGAATTAAATCATGACCTTGCTGCCAAACCTATGTGGGCTTCATCATTTCCTTCAGTGTTCAGTACAGGTCATGTTGTTATTCTTACAACACTCCTGGAGAGGTTGGCGTTACTCCCAAATGTATAGAAGGCAATAGAAATGAAAGATGGCCTTGACAAATTGCTATTTGCCGAATTATTTTGATGTGCCGAATGGAAAAGTATTGCTTGCCTGAGAAAAGCATTTATTTTTTTAATCATATTCTTATTTTTTTGAAAAATGTAACATATGCTTAGTTTCTCATGTAGCTTTTCAAACATTTCTCTAATACTGCTTTTTCTGCTTTATATTGGGGACTTGTTCTTCACTTGAGAAAAAATGAATTATATTCTTAAAATCCAGTTGGGTAATTTTCCAAAATTACTTATCATCTGGATGCTCTTTCTATATTTTACTCACCATGTAGGGTCTGTCATGACATTCAGCCCATTGAAGGCATAGATGGGGTACTCCATGGGGTTGAAATCAGAAATTCCATGTTTAGTGAAGAGGGAATTCCAGCTCTTTGCCAATAGCTGACCCTGTAGCAGAAGTGAGATTGAAAACTTCTATGCGTGCATCTAACTATGGCAGGAATATGGTGCAGCAAACTCTTTTTTTCTGCCATTTTTGATGTGACTTTCATCTGATGCCTGAGACACCATTAAGATTTCCTGAATTGTTTCTGGATTAAAGGAGTATTTTCTATTCTAACCCAAATCTTTTATTTTTGTTGTGATTCCAGTTAGGCATGTTTAAGCAAAACCTATGTTGGAGATATTGCCAGGTGATCCTTAGATGAAGGGAGTGGTCCCCTTTTACTGGCTAGCTTAGACAAGTGGGCATGCCTACCCCCTCTACGTCTCTGAGCATTCCCCTCTGGGAGCATTCCGGTCTGGCTAAGAGAGTCAACGTTTTTTTAAACCAGTTTCTCTTCCAGTATCTGCCAATTTTCTAAAGTTGGGGATTGGCTTCATGCCTGGCTCTGAAAGAGGGAACACCTTAAGTAACGAGAGGCAGGCTCTGTGGTATGAGGCCGCACAAAGCAGCAAGAAATTTTCTTCCTGCTTCACAATGCAAACCCTCCCCATCAACCTGTCATCTGCTAGACAGCTACTTTTAAGTATGGGTTTACTGCTTTTTGAAAGGGAGTGAAAATCTTGTTTAAAAATGAACTGACCTAGCAGGCAGTGGGATGGAGAGGTGTTGAATTATGAAGCAGGAGAGAAGTTAAGAAAAATTATCTCCCTCTGCAGTACACAGAAAACAATACTGCTATTTTGAAAAGCCATTCAAAAACAGCTGATAAATATTGTGCTCCTCTTTTCCCAAAACTGTAGAAGTCTTGCTATTGAAATGTTAGGTGACACCTTGCTGATGATAGAGAAGTGATGGTGAATTTATGACAGGTATATCAGAGGTGGCGCTCCACAAAATTTTGGGTGACATGCCAATATTCATCAACACCTGACAATAATTATTCTTGAAAACATATGATTTTTAGTGGCTGTGTAAGCTGCTTGAAAATGAGGTATGCTCTTATGCCAACTCCAGAGCTTCTGAAAATCAGGCAAGAACAGGTGTGATTTTTGCACAGTTTTCAGAGGCTGCAGAGGTCTGGAAGAACGTTCTCTGGAGTCACTTCAAAAACAAAGGCCTTGTGTGACTCAGAGCCTCTTCAGGTAGGCTGCAGGGGCCTGTCAACAGAAAGAGACTAGCGCTTAAAAGTAAGTGGCACACAGCAGATCATGGGGATCACACATGATTGGACTGATTTTTTTTTAAAAAGAAATGAATATGTAAAGAATTGCTTCTTTTTTGTCTGGGTGAGTGTGACATGCTAGCAAAGTCAAGTTTAGAATTTTCCAAATTTTTGATATGCTGAATCCAAAAGCCAACACAAACACTATGACAGAATTAGGTACTGAGATCTGCCTTGCTTTTATTGGCTCTTTAGGATGCTGTAAGCATAGTCACTCCACTTTGGTTGTGGAGGGCATTATTCCTCCCAGCCATTCTGTCTAGATAAGCTGGATACCTACCTTGTGCGGAGACATCTCCCAGTGTAACACTAGCCTGTACTTTCTGACAGTCCATTTGGATGGTCTACATCAGGAGTGTCAAACTCAATTTCATTGAGGGCTGCATCAGCATTGCGGTTGCCTTTGGGGGGGCGGGTGGGTGTGGCCAGGGTGGGTGTGGCCTACTGGGTGGGTGTGGAGTGGGTGTGGCCTACTGGGTGGGAATGGCCAGCTCTACATTGTTTGCGTCAAGGGTGCCTGTGGGGGCTTGGGCAGGAGTGGGGCAGATCTGAGGGTCTCTGGCAGAAGGGGGTGGGACCGGGGCAAGTGCCAAGGCATGATCCATTTCTTTATTCCTCACAAAGGGTGACACCTCCCCAGCATGCACCCAGGGGGCGGGGCCAACACGACAGGGGCCAATCCCTTGCTGTTTCCAGACGGTTTTGTGGAGCTAAGACTGAATGCGTTTCAGCATAGATGGCCACCACAAAATTGCACATTGGCTCCTGGCCAGCCTGGGCCAGGGCCAATGCAGTGGGGGCCGTTCCCTCACTGTTTCCAGGATGGCTCTGCGGGCCACATGAAACCACTTCGCGGGCCGCATCTGGCCCCCGGGCCTTGTGTTTGACATGTCTGGTCTACATACTCCATATATAAATAGATTTGCCACATAAGGGCAAACTTTAATCCCCTTTTAAAGGAGCACAACCCCTTTTTAATGAAGCTTTAGAAAGGGGGTTCTGGTTTTGGAAGAGGGATGCAGTCAGTACTTTCATTCAATCTATCTGCAGTTCTGCTGAGGTGGACTGCAGATAATTCCCCCACCTCTACTTTGGTTAGGCTCCACAAACTTCAACAGTTGCTTGTCTTTATCCCATCCAATTCATCCAGAAATCAGGAAAAGCTGCCCATAAAACTGACTAAAGAAGGGGTGAAACTGATCAAGTCTGTGTCGACACAATCAACCATTCGTTTTCCCCCCTTTTGCATGTTGAATTTTAATCATTTTTCCTTTTACAACCTCCCAAGCTTCTCCCCATCCCCCCAAGACTACCTTGAAGTCCTTTTTAGAATTACTGGAGGTGCTATAAATAATAGTATATTTGGGGTGGGTTTTTGTTGGGGGGAGTATCTATTCTAGAATAGCATTATATGTGTCTACATATTGATCTATCCATCTGTCAAAATTAATTTTACCAGCCCCAATCCCATTGAATGTTAAGGAGACTGACTAGTGGTGCTTTTCCTATAGAGTGTAATGCTCAATGGGAAGGGAAACAAAGCCAGAAAAATCTGCCAATTACTTCCCTTCATTTATCCCACATGAAAACTATACAAATAGTACCACTACCTGACTTCATTGTAGAGAGGACTTTGCAATGAGGACAGTATAATTTATGCCAGTATAATAAAGACTGAAGATGCTGGCTAGAAACCAGGAGTCTGTGAGTTCTAGCCATGCCTTAGACATGAAAGCTAGTAGGATGAGTTTGGACTAGTCAATATCTCTCAGCTCAACCCATCATACAAGGTTGTTGTAGAGAAAAATAGATAAGAGTATTATGTATATGTTAAGTATGTTTAATTGGGCCATAGTGTTTTGAATTTTGTATTAATTTATTTTTTAAATTTATGTAGTTTTATTTTTTGTGATTGTAAACTGCCCGGAGGTAAGTTGGGTGCCCTATAATTTTACAATTAAATAAATAAATATGTTCACTGTCTTGATTTGACTAAATATATTAAAAATGTCTACAACTAAGAATAATAATAATTTTCTGCCAATTTAGGGATTAGGGGACTACATATTAATATGGGTATGAGAAAGAGACTTTATTTCAAAGTTTAGATTAAATTAAATAAAACTTTATTTCAAAGTTTTTTTAGATAGTTAAGGAATTTTACAACAGCTTTGTTGGCTTTTCCTGTACAAATAGAATTAAATTCTCAACAACTTTCATTTAGAAACAAGGCACTGGACTTAGTTGGGCAACATAAACCAATCTTAATCTGCCTGCTTTTCCATAATCCTATCCAAGAAAGATGTACTGACTCAAGAGCCAATAAGAATCTGTTACTAACCTTAAGGTTAACAAGTGGCAAATTCCTGTCTGTTCTCTTTACAACTGAGATAAGGCTTTGGGTATTTCCGGACAGGAAGGTTCGGAAAGTTCCTTGCAGCTTTGCCTCTTGTGCCTGCTGATGGCACTGTAGGTCCACTCCACTAATCCCATTCAAGTTACCAGTCAAAGGGAAATTTAGTGCCACTAGGCGGAGCTGGAAAACGAAAGAAATCCAGATAAGTACCATACATGGCATCGAAGTAGAATCTAATTCAACAGAAAAATTAGCTGATACTCATCAAGTTTTATTCTTTATCTTAAAAACGTTGTTGCATTTTAGCATTGAAGCCAAGTTCAATCATATAACCAACCAAGGACCCAAGAGGATGATAATTAAACATTCACAAATTATCCCACACATTAAAGCTATTGTTCCCAAGTATTCTTGGGAAATCTTTACAGTTAAATCAGGGGTGTCATGTGATGTGTCGCGACATATTGCGACTTTTTTTTGCCATTGCTGGCAGTGGGGTGGGCACGTTTTTGCTATGATGCATTTGGCCTGCGGGCTGGCAGTTTGACACTCTTGAATTAAATGAAATCCATGTGGGTCTATATTTTCCATGCTACTACATTCAATGACTTGCTTTTTAGAAAAACAACAACAACCAAAACTATAGCTCTAAAGATAAATATGAATGATATACAAATATATTTATCCATTCTTCATTTAGATCAGGGGTCTTCAAACTTGGCTCTTTTATGACTTGTGGACTTCAACTCCCAGAATTCCTCAGCCAGCATGCCTGAGAAATTCTGGGAGTTGAAGTCCACAAGTCATAAAAGGGCCTAGTTTGAAGACCCCTGATTTAGATATGAATATGAATTTAGATGAATTGCCTATCAAATATAATAAACATTTAACTCCCTTGACTTCATTGATTCCAGCCTGTTAGGAAGGGCAATGAAGACAATTGGGCTACATAAACTTTATCCAAAATGAAAGCCCCCAAATATATACTGCAATTTCTAAAATTTTGTAGTTAACCTCTATCTAGAAATGTGGGGGTGGGTGTATATTCTTAATACTTCTAAAGGGCACTGAGTTGAAAACATTTCAAAGCAGTTTCTGCTTTTCTGAATGGGCTAGGATTGCTTGTTTTGGAAGTTTTTGGTTGTCATATAGCAAAAACCAATTTAAATTGTATTCTGTTTGTCCCAGAAGGGATATGAGGATTTTTTTTTATAAGATTGTGCCAATGATTTGTCTTGCTGAACTTACTGAAGGAATCCTCTGGGGGACACTAGTTGGTGCAATTGTCAGAACTGTTATGTTTATTTCATCAAGCTGAACCTAAGAGAAAAGGATTATTATATTACTCTGTATATGGAAGATTTATAGATCTTTTGATCAATTCTTTATAATAAGATGCTAACACAAAACCCACCCAATCAAGCCAGCCCTTAATTTTTTCACTGTCTACTGCAGTTGTCAGAAAAAGCAATGACAATAAATCACTAACAGATCACTTTGTTTAGTCTGTCTCACTTTACTATCACTTTTCTATAGGATACTCACTACTACATTGAATGACAATCAGAATGAATCAAAATAATTGATTTATTTTCTGTTTGGGAAAGAAAATGCTGATGCAGCAGGATTAATAATCCCAGCACCCAATGAGATTGATAGTAGAAAGAACTTCTGTCACTGGATAGCTCTCCTTTAATTTATACCTGCTCAGTTTAAATAGAAAATCACACTAATTTTAATAGCACACATGCTTTTAATAATTGTCTATTATTTGCAGCATTTCTTTGGCATGCCATTCAATATTCCACATATGAAAAAAGATTGTAGGTTGTAATGGGAAACCTTACTGAGCCTTTATGTTAAAAAGGCTGTTGCAGGAGTTAGTATTAGAAATTTGTCATCATTTTGGTCAGATTTACCATATTATAAATAGGAAATGAAATTATTCCAGGAAAATAAAACAGAGTTTATAGATACCTTCCACATGTGCAGTTATCAAACAAGGAAACAAGAGGATGTTCACTGATTTTTGTGTGTGTGTTCCTCAACTTTTTAATCCAAGGAGTTAGAATATTCAGGATTATTTTGTAATACTTCATGAAATGTTGCCATCACAAATTAACTATGCAAATATATTTTGAAAACATATTTCTTAGGTTTTGGTTTTGTCAGTGGACCCTGACAAAAGTTTCCTCAAGACTACTTACAAAGTCATATTTTAAGATAAAATAACTACAAAAATCACACAGTAAACATTTGCATACATCCCTTTACCATTATCAATCTTTCTTCTCAAAAGTGTCATCTAAATGGCCCTGTGCAAAGATTGCAAGCCATTTTTTTTGCCATCGTTGTACCAAAGTAAACTCCTTAAATGCAATACTGATTTAACAATACTATTGTGCAAGCACTGACATGGCATAAAATGCTGGAAAAAATTTTCACCTGATCATTTTCCATAGGCACCAAAGGGTCATCAGCTGCAAATAGAAGTGCAGAATCCTCCATCTAGTCAAGGAAACACATACAGTACAGGAAAACAAGTATAAAATTTAGCAGGTTTGCCACATAGTTCAAATAAGCAAGCCAAGATTCATCATGAAAATCTAATGACTGATAAATTCAGTAGTTAATCTGCCTTGAAAAAATGAAAACGATGCTTTCCAATTTATATTATGGAATATAAGAAGTCAGTCACATTAGCCTAAATAGCTATCTAGTTCAGCTTTCTGTAATCCACAATTTTAACCAGATATCTGAATAGGAAAGAAAGCAAATCCAATAATGTAATTCCATAATCTTTTAAAACCAATACCAAATTCTACCCTAATAAAAGGGATTATTACAATAGCTCCTACCAGAATTTTTTTCCATCCTTTGGAGGTCTTGAAGAAACCTTCAGCCTCTTCAGTGATGTAGACCAAACTGCCTTCAGGAATGGAGGAAGTAGATTTCAACATCATCTCTTTTGAATTGAAGGTCCAGGTGGGATGCTGAAAGGAAAGCAGAAAATATACTGTATCACCTCTCTTTTAATTAAAAAAATACCACTGGATCATATTTAGCCAGTAGTGGGAAAGATTTATAAACATTTTTGGATTAACTGATCAGTTTTGATGTTTAGTAGTGCTAGAAACTATTCCTAAAATTTACAACAGCTGTCTGACTTGCAAACATTGTAGCAGCTACTACCTTGAACAGCTATAGATTTCTTTGATAGAAAATCATTATTTTGTAATGAAAACAATATAAGCACTCCTAACAAAACATAGTACATAGTTGCCCCCATCTATTAAGACAGTGGTTCTCAACCTTTTTAATGCTGCGACCCCCAACCGGTCGTAAGTCGAGGACTACTCAACTGGTGCAGCACCATTTGCAGAATGGGACTTTTGGCGGGCTCAGAGGGCAGAGACAGCCTGGACAATTCCTATTGGCTTTTGAAAGCCAATAGAATTAGACTCTATTCAAGAGAGTCTATTCTATTGGCTTTCAAAAGCCAATAGAATAAAAGGGAGTAGCACAGCTAAGGAAAAGGGGGAAAAAAATAGTCGTTCGACCCCAAATGGGGTCCCGACCCACAGGTTGAGAACCACTGTATTAAGAGAATGGACTGAAAAAATATATGATAAGCACCATTAGCCCTGATAGGTCTATGTCAGTTCAGAAACTGATGCTGAATTTATTTGTCCTACATGCATAATACAAAGAGTATTTGAAAAATACTAATTTACTTTTATAATTAAAAAAGCAAAATGTGTGCATTAAGCCAACTATTTTCTACAGCTTTCCTCTGGCATAAAAAATCAAGAGAAAATAAATGGGTAATAAATACTTTTGAATGCCCCCCCATGACATCTTTGTATCATAACCAAAGTTCAATATAGCTTTCAGAAGCCAGATTTTTTTTTTTAAAAAAAAGTTCAATCTGTAGCCTTAAATATTTGCCTGCTCTTACTTTGGGAGAGAAATAAAAATGGAGAAACTCGTAGTAATAACAAACCTTATATCCATTCTGGCTTTTGTAGGGAGAATCCTTCATAGGGGGCTCTATATCTGTGCAAGAAAAGCAAGTTTGAATGAATATGCCTTCCCATCCAGAATATAAATATTTTCCTCTATACAGACTAGGAATTTGTTTCTTTCCTACACATGAAGTATTAGTACTGCTTTATAAATGCTTAGTAAGACCACACTTGGAATACTGCATCCAGTTTTGGTCACCACATTACAAAAAAGATGTACTTGGAAAAAGTGCAAAGAAGAACAACTAAGATGATTAAAGGCCTGAAAACTAAGACATATGAAGAACGATTGCAGGATTTGGGTTGGCTAGTCTAAAGAAAAGAAGAAATAGGGGTGACATGATAGAAGTATTCCAGTATTTGAGAGGCTGCCACAAAGAAGAGGTTGTCAATTTATTTTCCAAAGCACCAGAGGGCAGGACAAGAAACAATGGTTGGAAATTGATCAAAGACAGCAACAATCTGGAATTAAGAAGAAACTTCCTAACAGTGAAAACAACCAGTGGAACAACTTACCTTCAGACGTTGTGAGTGCTTTATCACTGGAGGTTTTTAAGAAGAGACTGGACAGTCACTTGTCTGAAATGGTATCGGCTCTCCTGCTTGAGCAGGGAGTGGACTAGAAGACCTCCAAAGTCCCTTCCAGCTCTATTCTGATTCTAATTTTACAGATGCCAAACATGTCCTAAACACTAAATTCATGCCAAGCTAGAACAGAGGAGGATGATGCAAGGAAAGAAAGTACCTCAGGTTTCCTCACAAATGCTCTGATGAAGGACAGAAATATTTCTCTTTAACACCCTGCCAAAGTCACATCAGGTTGCCCTGCTTTGTACCTATGTTCTTCTATTTTTCTATTGTACAGATGGTCCTCAACTTACGACCTCAGTTGAGACTGGAGTAATCATTACTAAGTGGTGCAGTTGTTAAGTGAAACATTACATGACTGCACCTGATTTCATGACTTATTTGCTGTTGTCATTAGGCAAATTGCAATAGTCATTAAGTGAGACATCACATGATTGTAACTTATAACCTTCTGGCTTCCCTATTGACATTGTATATCAGAAACAAAGGTTGGGAAGGTTGCAGGTAATGGTCACATGATTTCAGGACACTGCCCATTTTAAATTGTGACAGTTGACAAGTGTCTGAATCACAATCACATGACTGCAGGGATACTGAGATGGTCGTAAGTGTGAGGACTGTTTGTAAGTCACTTTTTTCAATGCTATCATAATAAAAGCAAACAGTTGCTAAATAAGTAAGTCAAGGACTACCTATAATCTTGACAATTCAGCTAGGAACTATAGCTATAGTAGGTTGCATAGCCAGAGAAAACATCCAATTGATCAGTCCTCCAGATTGCAGGATTGATATGTGAACAACAGATTAGGAAATACTAAGGAATTCTTACAAGGTATTGCACAATAAAAAAAAACATTTCAGTGTATTTCTGTTTTAACTAAAACGAAGAATAAAATAATACCTGAATCAAAACATGGATCCTGGTTCACCTGAAAGGAATAAGAACTGAGACTGATGCCATGTCATGGGGAAATACTCCTAATTTTTTGAAAGATTATAAACACATCTTTCTTTCACCAAATTTTTATAATTATTATACTGATTTTATATGTTATTTTTAATGTGTTAATTTGTTCTGCCTAAACTACTATAATAAACAGAAAGGTGAGGTATATTTTCAATAATGAAGAACTGAACATATTAGTCAAGATACACACACACACACACACAAACATTCACTCACGCACATACACACAGTAACACACACTAGTTTGTAACAATACTTTTTCAGTTTTAAGTGCAGGTTGGAACTATTGATTAATTTGCTTTTTAGTTTGCTTTTTCCCATTGAGCAAGAGGTTATTTAACCTCATTTTGTCCCTTGTATGAATGTAGCTTCTTGGAATTTAGGATCAGCAGAATTAATTTTTTACAAAGAACCAGCATTCCTTATTTATTTTGGCTGTTGTAACTTTTTTTATTGAAAATTTTTACATTTTACAAAAACAAATCCCCTTCCCATACCCCCCCCTACCTCACCCCCCCCCTTCCCAACCTCCCAAACCCTCCCCTGGACTTCCCAGAGCTGAGTACAGGCTTAATTAAAAAAAAAAAAAAAACTTAAAACACTTTTAAAACCTAAACAAATTTAAATACAATCATCATTCTATATAAGCTCCCTCCAAAAACACAAATTTAAACATTACTTTCTTTGAATATCTATATCTATAATATAAAATCTAATTTCTCCCTCTTTCTTTATCCTAAAACGAAAAAATAAACATACAAATCTTTGTTATACCATTAAAGCTAAATACTCTTAAAGAACTTAAAGTAAGTACATATTTCCTTCAATCTTCATAATCTTCTCTCCTATCCAAAAAGAAAAAAAAAAAAAAAAAAACAAAAAACAAAAACTTAAAAAACCTATAAGTCCTAAACAAATCTAAGCACATTTAATTAAACAAATTATTTTGTCTTAAAAATATTAATAATAATATTTAAAAACTAAAAACACTTTTAAATCCTAAACAAATCTAAATACAATCATCACTCTATATAAACTCCCTCCAAAACCACAAATTTTTAAAATTTAAAATATTAGAATCCACTCACTAAAATAAGCAAATTATAATCCCTTCAAAACACAAATTTAAACAATATTATCATTAAAGGTTCAAAACTTAAAACAACAAAGTTAATAAACACATTAAACATTTCAATCTTCACCAATAACTAATTCCATCCGTAAAAAACTACATCCTTATCAATCTCAATTATATTAGTATTATTAATTATTCACATTCCAGTTTTTTCCATTCTCCATTCTTCCATTCTTCCATTTCCCTTCTCCATTCTTGTATCAAACTCGTAAGAAATGCTGCAAGTTCTGCCTTAGGAGACTGCTCCAAAATTCCTGAATCTCCCATCGACTCCGAAGCCAATAAGGGTTCCTTAAATTCCTCCTTGTATTGATCTTTACAATTGTAAGTTGTACAAGTTATCCTCTGCCCGTTCCTCTCTTGTTGATGCCCCTCAGACTGAGATTTCCCAGTTTCCATTTCAGGCAACAATTCCACCCTTAAAGATTGCTCCAAAGACTTTGTAGGTCTAACATCTCCCAGAGATTCAGAAACCACTAAATATGAAACTTCCTTAACCTTCTTCTGTTGCTGCTTTTCTTTGGGATTATATACTGCACAAGTTGTCTTCTGCTCCTCAACCTGGACTTGTTGAGGCCTCTCACACAAAGATTCTCCAGTTTTCATAAATATAGGCTCTTCAAACTGTGATTCTACATTCTTTTCTTCCAAAGCTTTAAACTTAATTGATGGCGATGCACATACCCCCAGGACCGAAGTATAAAAATCTTTTGCTTGAGAAACAGTATTAAGTCTATAACATGTCCCCAGGTAATTCACCACCATTCCAATCGGAACATCCCATCTAAATGAAATTTTTCTCTTTTTAAGTTCATTTGCTAAAAAAGCAAACTCCTTTCTTCTTCTTAAAATTTTAGATGGGATCTCTTTAAAAATTATAACATCTTGTGAAGCAATTTGAAATCTCTTCTTATAATAGGCTTGCACAATTTCATTGCGTAAAGATCTTTTACCAAAGTAAATTACCACATCTCTTGGCAGATTCTTCTGTGCTGCCACCACAGAGTTAACCCTAAATAATTTTTCAATTTCATTAAGTATTCCCTCTTTTTCTTTATTCAAAATCAATGCAAAGTCCTTTGCAACCATCTCCTTCAGATCTCCTTGCAAAGACTCTCCCAGGCCTCTAATTCTTAAGGCATATTCCATTTGTCCATATTGAAGCATAAGAATCTCATTTTCCATTTCTTTTTCCATACTTTCAATTTTCCCCTCCATTATGTCCACTTTTTCAGCTACCTCTTCCACATGGGAGTTCACCTTTTCAAGAACAGAAGCAACACCTTCTAAAGCCAAAACAAAATCTTGTCTCAAGATCTTATTGTTTTCCTCTAAAATCTTTTTCATTTCTGCCCTAATTTGAATTATAACATCTCCCATCATGTCTTGCAAGTCCTTCATAGTTATTAGCTGACCCCCAGAAGAGGGTGAAACTGTTGATTTAGAAACTGTAGAAATCCCTGGACGCTTTGGAGCCATCTTAAAGAAAAACCTTTAGTCCTTCTTAAGCAATTATAAAAATTCCTTCAAAAATATAACTCCCTCCAAAGAAGGTCATTATAATAAAAAGAAAAAAGGGAAAAAAAGGAAGAGAAAAAGAATTAAAAAAAAGTTTTACTCCTTCTTAAAAATTACAAAAAATTAAACAGAAAAAAAGTCCTTCAAAAAAGGGTCATTACAATAAAAAAAAAAAGGGAGTTCAAAGGAAAAAAAAAGGGAGAAGGGGAAAAAAAAAAATAATTAAATAAAAAAAGTCCGTTCCAAAAAAAATACTTAGAGATACCAAAAACAACCATTCCAATCATAAGGAAATAAAAAGAGAAAGGGAAAGGAAAGAAAGAAAAACACCAAAAAGCCTGCCGGTCAGCATTCTAACTTCCAGAAAAAAAAACACCGAGGAGTTTGCCGATCGCCATTTTACTTTCCCTTTCAACAAAGAAAAAAAATAAAAAGAGAGAATAAAAATAGAAACAAATCTTAAAACTTAAAATCCAAATAAGTCAAAGAAAGCAAAAACTAAATCCTCTACTCAGCTCTGTCCATTTAAAAAAAAAAAACTCACCAGTTCTCTTTAAGCACGGAGGTGTTTGCGGCGGCTCGTTTTGTCCCTGAGGACAAAAACAGCTGGGAAGCGGAGACAAGTCTGAACTCCGTGGGAGCACTCCTTTCACCCCCCCAAAAAAAAAAACTTGGGGGGTGCGAAAGAGGCTCTACCACTATTCAGACACTCTCTACCCCCCCCCTTTGCCCGGGAGGGGGATTTTGAACCGCTGAACAGCTGATATCTGCTGTTCATAGCGGTTCTTACACTTACCCAGGAGGACGGCTACAAAGTAGCCGCCATCACGCACGCAAAATCCACCGGAAGTCTCGGCTGTTGTAACTTTGTTACACTTGCAAAACAGAGTTTAAAGATATATTTTATGTAAATGCCTGTTCTACCTTGAAGGAATCCTGGACAGCAAGGAAAAGCTCAGGCCATACCATGCCAGTCATAATTCCAAGTACTGCAATTATTGTAAAAGTCAACTGAGAAATGGTATGAGAGTTCTGACAGCAGGATTGTTGGGCAGCCAATTGGTTTGGCACAACAATAGGAAGGCCTAATTACCATATTTTGTTTTATGCTAAACTTTTCTCCATCCTCCCAAGTAGCTTCTTGCTCGAATTGGTAAAACATAGACTTGGCAGAAGAGAATCATCAGCTGACATGACCTTAGGATAACTTCAAGTTAAGAGTTATATTGTGTATAGAATGGTCCAAGAGATAACCACAGAAAGGGATAAAGGAGGGATTAAAACAGGGCTAGTCAACCTTGGCTTTTTTATGACTCATGGACTTCAACTCCCAGAATTCCTGAGACAGCTAAAGCTAAGTTGCATAAACCTAAGCTGGCTCAGGAATTCTGGGAGTTGAAGTCCACAAGTCATAAAAGAGCCAAGGTTGACTACCCCTGGATTAAAAGGAGGGATACATGGAAGAACTGCTCACTATCTTTTGACTAGGTAGGACTAGACATCCATCTAAAAGCATCTCAATGCCCTGTCAAAGCTGCCACCTCTGTATCAATTGCTTTTGCATAAGAATTCTGTGCAGAGCACCTTCTTATTGGTTGTCTTTCAAATAGCACAGGGCTTTTTAAATAAACAATGTGATGGGGGAACTATAGAGTACCTGCCTTTGCATGATGTGACTATAAAGAGACAATCTTATGACTTAGTCAACTCACCGGTTGCTTGCAATGTGGCCTGGGTCGGACTGGGTACACTCTCTGGAAGGATACAAATTCTCTTATTATAAACCATATAGATAAAGAGGAAAAAGGTTTTTGCTCCCCCCCCTCCAATTTCCTTCTTTGAACAAGAAAGACATTCCCATTTCCTAAAGTATTAATTAATTTCCTATTTCATTTCAACTTTGGTTTTGAGCTGATATGAGTTTAGTCAGTCTAATATGGTCTGAGCAACAAATGAAAATTTCTTTCGCATTTTAAATATTATCTACCACTTAAAGGGAATGATAAACTATTATTTTGTTCTACTCATAAAGATCAATCCCATCATATGCAGGTTGAAATCCTCAAAAGCACAAAAGCTTTTGGCTACTCCTATTATTCATCTTTCATGGGACTAGTCTCCTCCTATGGATGGTACCACTTGATCCCCAAACAATAATAAATATTGATTCCATAGCAAATGAAAACAGATGTAAAAGAGCTAAAAGCAGGCAAGGAAGGGGGTATTTCTTCTTCCTTATGCATTACTTATGTGCCATAATTGTCTCCAGTTTCAAAAAAGACCAGTGTTCCTTAACAGCAACCAATGGTAAAAATTATGCATAACATTTATGCAGAATACCTAAAAAGCTGGATTTCTAGTTTTCAGAAAAGAAAATAATAGAATTAGAAGGGATCTTGGAGGTCTTCTAGTTCAGTCCTCTGCTCAAGCAGGAAATCCTATACCGGGGTGTCAAACTGTTGGCCCGCGGGCCAGTTGCATCATACAGAAGCCACGCTCATCCCAGCTCCAACAATGCAAAAAATGTCACAATATGTCATGACATGTCACATGATGTCACCCGTGCCCTATACCATATCAGACAAATCGTTGCCCAGTCTCTTCTTTAAAAGCTCCAATGTTGGAGCACCTGTAACTTCTGGAGGCAAATCGTTCCACTGATTCCTTTCCATAAAATGCTTGACTTCCCCTCTGCCCCTAATACTATGGCATACAATGAGTGGGATCAGATGGTAAGACCTTGATGTGTAATTGTTCTGCCTTGAGAAAGGATCCCCACAGTAGAGCGTTTCTCAGCCTCAGCAACTTTAAGATATGTGTATTTCAATGCTTCAGCATGCTGGCTGGGGAATTCAGGGAGCTGAAGTCCACCCGTTGTAAAATTCAGAAACACTGCCATATTGAGTTACAGCATTTTCTGCCGTCATATAACATTATGAGTTAGTAACACAACATAATAGTAATGAGTCAAACTTTTATTGCCTCATTGGTAACGGAGATTCTATGGCACTAGAAGATTCTGTAAATCACAAGGCAGTGGGGGTGGAGTAAGGATCCTTCTTAATTCATAGAATTTTATAAGCTGTCAAATATCCTGTGTTTGCAATCTAATCCTGCAACATATCCTGAAAAATCCATCAAAAAGGAAAAGACAGAATAACTGAGTGTTGGCAGAATTAAATAGAAGAGTTCACTCACATTTATATAAAGTACACCGGGTGGTCCAGGAGGGCCTGGAGGGCCAGGCTTTCCTGGGAGGCCTGGAGGTCCCTAGAAGAGATAACAGTATTATTTGCATATTTTCAAATTAAGCTTTGCAGATAGATAATTTCCTGCAAGTTATTCCTATGTGTGTGAATGTTTTATGAGGCAGATCCATAAACACTAATATTCTACCACAGTGTTTCCCAAACTTGACAATTTTAAGGCATGTGGACTTCAACTCCCAGAATTCCACAGCCAGCGTTGCTGGCTGTGGAATTCTGGGAGTTGAAGTCCTCATGCCTTAAAATTGTCAAGTTCGGAAACACTGTTCTACCACAATGTAAATTGTAGAAGCATGCTGCCTATACAGTATGAAAGTATGCACAATTCATTCAGACAAGGAATTTTCTTTGAGGAAAAAGCTGGGATGGGATTGAAGACTTCCCAAAGACAAAAAAACAACACATATTTTTTATGGGACCAAACTGAAACTTCGCAAGTAATGATAAATTGGATATGACTTACGTGGTTGGGACCATACATCTCTAGGTCTTCTTTGAATTTCTGGAAGAGATAGAGATAAAAAGAAGTAAACTGACTAATCATCTGTACTGACATATTGCATCCATCTACACTATATTCACTTAAACTATACATTCCTTAATTTATTTTATACATTCCTCAATTTATTTATTAATATTGATGGAAAACATTCTAAATTACAAATATATAGGTAGTCCTCAACTTACAACCATTCATTTAGTGACCATTCAGAGTTACAGTAGCACTTAAAAAGTGACTTATGTCCATTAACACACAACAATTGTGGCAACCCCATGGTCACATGATCAGAATATGGATACTTGGCAACTGATATGTATTTATAATGGTTGCATTGAGCTGCGGTCCAGTGATTCTTTTTACGACCTTCTGACAAGCATCAGCAATATGGAAGACAAATTTATTTAACAACTGTGTTACTAACTTAACGATGGCAGTGATTCACTTAACAATTGTGGCAAGAAAATGGGGCAAAGCTCACTTAACAGCTGTCTTGCTTAGCAATGGAAATTTTGGAGTCAGGACTACCTGTATAGAGATTTTTCTTGAAATGGGTATCTGTGGGCAACCAAAGAGAATTAAATCCACTATATAATTAGAAGAATGCCACTTGAATTGAGAGAAGCATAAAGAGCAAAAACATGCTAACTGTTTCTAAGTAGGAGAGTGTAGCCTTAAGATGTCTATGTAAAAGAACTCTTGGAGAATTTAATGCAGTTTGCTAAGTTGTTATATGTGCAACAATATCTGTTTGCCTACATTATGTCCTGGTTTTGGTTTTTGTAAATGGAGCAAATAATGAAATGGCCTACAAAAATCTACAGAGCTGTTTCCTTTAAAAGAAATCAAATTATATTATATCTTTGGGCTTCTCTCCATGAGATAAAGTGGATAATTTGCCAGAGGAATGAAAATTCTGCCCAGCAGTTTTCCAGATTTCCCTGGATTGATGTTTCAGAATGGGAGGACAGTAGAAAAAGTTACTTTGATTAGAAGGGAGTAGTTGGAATTACTCCCCCAGACCAATGGATCAAACAGGGAATACTATCTCTCTAACATACCTTTTGGAAGACAAAAGCTACCCAAGAATCAATGTCATTTCTTGCCTCCTTGCAGCAACTGCTACATTCCTGTGGAAAAAACAAGCCTTTTAAAGCCTTCTAGAGAATTCTAAAGTACAATAAAAACAATTTATTTTCCATCAATGAGCCTTGAAGTATGGGATACTGTTTTCTATGACTACATACCACTTTTCCTGGTTCTCCCTTTTCACCCTGCAGAGAAATCAATCAATCAATCAATCAAAAAAAAAATCAGATCGTAGGATTGCAAGTTCTTGATTTTGCCTTCTGGAAAGCAGGATAGAAAAGCTGTATTTGAGGTATGGGAGGTGGTCTTTTTACTACAAAATGAATTTGTGGTAGTTAGAGAGTCTTGACATGAATTTCATTATAGAAGCTGGAATGCATCTACATTTTTGCTGTTGTAGCTTGTAAAGCCTCATTTAACTCTGGGGGTTTCAAACAGCACTTGTTTTGCCATCATTGCTGTTTTGCAGTAAATTGCTAGCAGTATCAAAATAGACTTTTTGCATGGCTAGGCAAAGGGAGACATTCTAGATCAGCGGTTCTCAACCTGTGGATCAGGACCCCATTTGGGGTCGAACGACCATTTCACGGGGGTCGCCAAACAACGCAGTCCGCCATTTTTTTCCCCTTTTCCTTAGCTGTGCTACTCCCTTTTATTCTATTGGCTTTTGAAAGCCAATAGAATAGACTCTCTTGAATAGAGTCTAATTCTATTGGCTTTCAAAAGCCAATAGGAATTGTCCAGGCTGTCTCTGCCCTGCTGAGCCCGCCAAAAGTCCCATTCTGCAAACGGTGCTGCACCAGTTGAGTAGTCCTCAACTTACGACCGGTTGAGTAGTCCTCGACTTACGACCGATTGGGGGTTGCATCATTAAAAAGGTTGAGAACCACTGTTCTAGATGTTCTTGAACGAAAGTTTCCAACAGCTTCAGCCAGCTAGGCCACTGATGAAGGATGCTGAGAACTGCGATACCTGGATTGCCTTGGATTATCTATTTTTCAATGCCATCTATCTATGGCTGTTGAATTTGTCCTGGACAAGAAAAGAACAACAACTAAATTTGATTAATTGAAATGAAATTCAAGAGGTTTACAGGATTTTTCTTCGTATGTTCAATCAAAGAACAATGATAATTTGTTATGTATATAACTGGCGGTTTAAGGAAGGTCTCAGAGAGTTACAGGGTCGTTTTCAACATACAACCATGATGGAACCTACCCATCAGGGTTGTCAAAGTGACCGACCAGCTTTACCATTTTTTTGTGGCAGTCTTTAAGAGAACGTGGCAGCTATGAAGTGAGTGCTGCAGTCTTTAAGTGAACACTGTAGTCATTAAGTGAACCAATGGTTTGCTATGGGAACAATTTTGCTAACAAGTGGAAGTAAATGCCAGTTTTTTTGGGCACACTGTTGTAAAACATAGTTACATGACTTCAGAGTGCTGCAAAGAGTTGTAAATACAGACTGGTTGCTGAGTGCCAAAGTTTGGTCACATAACTATGAGATTTTGGTGTGTGCACAGGTGTGTATGTCTGCTGATTGTCAGTACTTCAAATCTAGGTCATAAATAGCTCCAAGTAGGTAGGCCTGTTGTAACTTTGAATAGTTGCTAAGTGACTGGTTGTAAGTTGAGGAATACAAATACTGAAGCTTTAAAGTGTATGGGACATATATTGCTGGGACTACAACTTTTTTTCCTGTACTTTAGGAAGTTTGAATCCAATGCACACATTAGAAAGACAGCCAATAGCTATTGGATATGGTTAAGACCACTACTCACTTAGGACCAGGAGGCCCTTGAACACTTGCTTCAGAATTATACTAGAGAGAACAAGAGAAGGGATCAGTGCAGCCCTTAGAAATAGCCCAATCCCTATTATTAGTGTGTACAGATAACAAAACTTTTAATCTTTCTTATGTGTACTCTTGTCAGAATGCTGTGTTAATGGCTAGAGACAAACAAAAAAACTTACATCAGACAATGAAGAATTATTCTAACTATATTCATGTATTCAAAAAGAAGCTTTGTTTATAAAATTTCCCCTCTCCTCTCTAGGAATAAGATTTTTTTTTCTCTTTTGGCATTCATTAAAGGAATGGACAATGGGAGGCAAATAGTAAAACATAATTTTGAATCATGACTTGGTATAAAAAAAAAGCCCATTTGACTTTTTGGATCTTTCCTTTAGCCCACAATAAGAGTATAAAATTAGTTTAATTCTATGATATTCTGTCCTGCTGAATATTCTAGTGACACTGGGATATCATTAGAATTGCATTTGTATGCAAACACAGAATGTATGCAGGACAAAGAATCCATTTAGCTTCTTAAACTTCCCTCCTATGGGATTGCAAGTAAGGGGATGGAGCACAAGTGGTTTACAGGCTGTGAGCACCCCACTCTGTCTCCAAAATAAATAAAGCATCTGTAAGTTTCAGGTTTATAACTTTTAAAAATGGAATAAGGGTGTACATTTTTGCTTCTAGATGCCAGTTCATAGTGCCCATGACAATGGAAACACCTTATATGGAAAACAAATGGGATGTCATGCGCTAGCTGGAGGCTGGGTTGCTTCTACTCACCTCATTATCACCAGGTAAGCCGGGAGGACCTATAGGCCCGGGTGGGCCCTGTGCTCCCTTTTCTCCAGTCTGTCCTGGTTTGCCTGGCAACCCAGGTTCACCGTGGTCTCCTTTCTCCCCCTGAAAGGATTTAATGCTCACAAATTAGCATAGCAAGTCCAAAAAACAAAACAAAACAGATCTCATGAAGTAACAATCAGCTCTGAGCACTTTGTTTCTTTCATAATTATATCTTGATGATCAATAATTTTATTTTGTTTTTTTCTGAACTCATTCCTCTACCCACATATCCCCAAATTCTTATAATACAGGCAATGGTTACCTTTGCTCCATTCTTTCCGGGAGATCCATTTGCTCCTGGAGGACCTTCCGGTCCAGGGAAGCCTGATAATCCTGGTAGTCCAACCTGGCCTGGAATTCCTGCATGACCTTCAGGGCCGGTGACTCCTGGAGGACCCTCTGGCCCCACTGGCCCTGGAATTCCTGGGGCTCCTGGGGCTCCTGGAGGACCAGGCTGGCCTGGAGACCCAGGAAGCCCTGGAGCCCCCTGCTGGCCTTCATGTCCTGAGAGGCCAGGGGGACCTTGGGGGCCTTCAGGTCCTGGGTATCCCTGGGGTCCTGGATGACCTGGATGACCAGGTAAACCTGGTGAACCAGGAGGCCCTTCTACAAAACTGACTCTCTAGAAAAAAAGGAAGATGACAGAGAAACAATTGGAGAACGGAAAAGACTAATTTAGCATGTTGAAAACTCATCATCGGTATCTCCAGAGATATGGTCTTGTCAAACACTTCAGTGATATTCAAAAGTTAAATAGGTTCAAGAGGTACAACAGTCATGAGGGATATTCCTTAACTTCAAGCCATACAGTACTAAATTAGATGCCATTCAAACTTATTAAGACATAAGCCATTTTCATTTACGTGTACAATATAGTATTTTTCCCCCAGTCTATCATTTATAAATTCATTTGTTGTATTTTTTTTTAAAAAGATGATAGGTTACTATCATTGTTCATCCTTGTTGTGATCAATGGGGAAATAATTTCTTTATATATTACCTTTTATTTTTCTTTATTATATTCTTATTTTTTCTTTTCTATTTTTCTTTATATTTGTTCCTTTTCTGCACTTTCTATTTTTTTATTCTTTTTTTAAAAGTTCATATTGTTTTTTTTATCTTTTTAATTTAATTATTAAAAAAAAGAATTTTGAACTGGCAACATTATCTTGGCAATAAAATTGAAAAGGACATAATGTTGGTGTATGTTTCTTGCCTAGGACTGATAACTGGGTGTGCTTCCTCCTTCCAGTCTCATGCTGGGCCCATAATACAGGGTCACGATATTGTGTTGTTCACATCCCTATGTATAGGCTGGTGAGGAAGTCCAGAATAATAAAAGTTATTTGGTATGAAGGGGAAGCCAACTTCTTTTGGCTTAGAATTGTGTGTCCTCTTTCTGCCTTAACATCCATATTTTTATGGTTCGGTGAAGTTATGATTTTACTGTAGTGGTGAGAAATAATCTATTCCTTCTTCCCTCATTTTAGACTTTTTAAAGGAGCACTGAATTGTGGTTGTAAGACTGGCCACTTTTCTTTTTTACATTCTAGTCCCCAGCAAACAAAAGCTTAATCCCTTTGTCCCTTCCAACTATGGTATGAAGTCCTCTGGAGGCAACAAATGGATTTACCATAATCACCAGATAACTAAAACAACACCAGGTTTTCAAGATCAGCGAAAACAAAAGCAAGCAAGCCAATAAAAACAGATCACATTTTGAATGAATGTGAAGCACTATGTGAATTTTGTATAACAAGAAAGGTGAATATAGTATCTTTGCTTGGTGAACATAATATTTTTATATTATTGTAAAAACATTGATATTGCCTTAGTCTATCAACAAATCTCACCTTTTCTTCTTCGTCCTTGGTATCAGTGAAGTCTCTTATATTAGGAAGAGTTGAACTTGATAGACCTGGTGGACCTGGTGGACCTGCTGGTCCTGGTAATCCCGGAGGCCCTGGAAGGCCAGGATAGCCAGGTTTGCCAGTTGGTCCAATTTTTCCAGTTAGTCCTTTTTCTCCTGGTGGACCTTGGTCACCCTTTGCTCCCTGTTATAAAAAAAGAACTTTGGATAAGAAGTACAGTGCACATTCTGACAACATGGTGGCTGGGGAATTCTGGGGACTGAAGACCAGACATCTAAGAATTGCCAAGATTGAGAAACAGCAGTCTAAAGCATAATCTAATCTAACCCTTTTCAACAGATGTGTTTGGAAGATAGCTGTCTGATAATTCTTGGAGTTGTTTCTGAAGGATATCAGGTTGGAGAAACCAGCTCAGATCCTCAAGGTTTCTATTTAAGTGTCTTTTAGCAACCCACACTCCCATTGCATCCTTGGCAGACATTTTATGCCATTAACTTTAACAAATCCATGACAGTAAATGTAACTTAATAACTTCAACTCATCTCAGCAGAAGGAGAAACTAACAGCTGAATTTTTGACTGACAAGCAACTTTTAAGGCACAATACTATTGATTTTTTGGGGTGGTTTGACAAGGTAATTCACAGCAGTAAATAACACAAGTAGCTTAATGTGATTTAGTTTACATTTGGGGAAAGATAACAGATGTTTTCTTGTCTTGGGCAGCTTTCTCAAGACAGAATGAAACTTTGAAATGTAGACTTAATGCCAGCTAAATTGCAAAGGTACTGTATATGCCGGTGTTTAAGGTGACCCGGCGTATAAGAGGACCCCCATCTTTGGCGCCGAGTTGTATGCCTAGAACATCGTCTTATATGCCGGAAACTATCAGTATTTCCGGCGTATAAGACGACTCGGCGTATAAGACAACCCCTGTCTTTGGCGCCGATTTTAATGCTTGCGGAAGTCACCTTATACGCCGGCATATGCGGTACCTAGATTTGTTGTTTCCACTAAGGAAAAAATAAATATATAACATACACACCTTTGGACCAGGTGGACCAGGTATTGCAGGACAGACACACTGTGAAGTAATATTAATCTAAGAAAGAGAGAAAAAACAGTTAATGATAAACCATCTCTTTAAAAAGCAAGAAGGGAGAAAAGGAATATTGACCTCGTGGAAGTACTTATTTAAATACATAAACAATTATGTTGATCAAATGGAAAACATAGTTTCTAATTCTGTAGGAAATTACCATGCACAAGTATTGGCAGGTAGCAGTATTATGTTTGCGGGTTGGAGGCATTAAGAGGAGACATATCATGTAACAACAAGTCTTCTTTATTGTTCTCATCCACAACCAACAACAGCCAAAATGGCACAAAGGCCTTTTATAGTGTCCTAGCCCCGGACAACGTCAACCAATGATTGCAGAGGTTGTTTCCTGCCTTGCGCATGCACGCAAGACTGGAGACAGCCAATCTGGGCCCGGGTAGCTTTTGGTCTGCCCGGGACCCTTTGCAACATTTCTGAGCCTGCTGAATGCTACTACATACCTTACTATGTAGTAGCACAGGTACACACGTTCACTGGACTGGGTATTATTATGAAGCACAATACGCCTGCACACAGGCAGAACACTCTTACATTTATAATTTTTCACAGAAAAAAAATACAACAAAATAATATGCTGGGAAGAACACCCTTTACTGAGTGTTTGTTCTGCATTTGTTTAAGGATTAATAAGGTTCCCTTGACTTGACAGAAACCTCACATAGTCCTCAAGATGTTTGGGTGGGCCCTTGGCCCGCTGTGACCTTCTGATGGCTGGTGAGTGTGCTTGGCCTGCCAGCTCGCCTGCCAGGCTAGGCAGACCAGGACTTTGATGCCCCAAAGACCCAGGTGACCCACCCAGCTACTAACTGGCTGGTTCCTCTGAATCCAAGCCAGGGTTCCTTGGGTGGGTAGAATTCCCCAAGTCCAGTGGTGGGGTGGAATTCCCCAAATCCACAATAGACTCCTCTTGGGAGCAATGTCCCTCGAGCCCAAGACCAGCAGCTGGAGTGGCCTGAGTGGCTGATGTGCCCCAGTAACCCATGGCCCCTGTGTATGTGCCAGAGGTGCCAGAGTCAGGAGCCACTTCCATAGCAAATCCCCTTGCTGAAGCCTGGGATGACCCCTGTTCTGGTGCAATAGCTAAATCCTGTGAATGTCCCCGTTCTGCCATGGGAACATGTGTGGTAGCATGTGAAAACCCGCTGGAGCTGGAAGACTATGGGCCAGAATAAAGATTATAGTCCTCCTCCCACCCAAGAGCAGAGCCAGGAGTGAAAGTGTTGCTGGGCAGCCTCCAGCGCAGTTGGTCTATGTGTTGTCGGATGACGTGCCCATCGTCCAAGGCCACTTCGTATGACAGCGGCCCAGAGACCTTGCAGACCACTGCTGTGACCCAGAGATGTCCAGGACCGTAGTTCCTTGCCCAGACCAGATCGCCCACCTGTAGTCTCCTAGGTGCCCGCGGCTGTGACACCTGTGAAGCCACCTGGTCTGGGTGCAACCTGTCCAGTTTCGTGATGAGGCAGCGACCCCAGTGGAATTCTGCTGGGATCTTTCCTATGGCTGTGCAAGGTGTGGTGCAAGAAGGAAATCAGCTAACCTGTGATGCCAGCTGCCATAAGTGATCCCCTTGAGAGCATCTTTGGTAGTGAGCACCATCCTCTCAGCCTGGCTGTTGGAAGATGGGTGGAATGGAGCTGAAGTTGCATGCTGGATCAAGTTGGCCTGTAGGAAAGCCTGGAACTCAAAAGAGGTAAATTGGGGGCCATTATCTGAGACCAGGACATCTGGAAGTCCATGAGAAGCGAAGATTCTTCTCAACACCTGGATGGTCCTAGCAGTAGTAGTGGAGGACACAGGCACAACCTCTAGCCACTTGGAATGGCTGTCAACGTGGAGAAGGAAGAATTGCCCCTGAAAGGGCCCAGCGTAATCCACATGTACCCTTGACCAAGGGGCTTGTGTTTCCTCCCACCTATGTACAGGGACTTGAGGCATTTCAGGCCTTGACTGTTGGCACAATTAACACCCGTGCACCTGGGCCTCAATGGCTTTATCGAGCCCAGGCCACCAGAGATGGCTGCATGCAAGCGCTTTCATCCGGACTATACCCGGATGTCCCTCATGCAGAGAGATCAAGATTCTAGACCGCAATGAGGTTGGGATGACTACCCTACTACCCCATAACAGGCACCCTTTGAATGTGGAAAGCTCGTGCTTCTTTTGCCAGAAGCTTTGAAACTCAGTATCTGGACATGTGTCAGGCCATCCTGAAAATACCCATGTCAGCATGCATGTAAGCGTGTAATCAGTGGCAGTTTCTGCAGCCACATCCCTAGCATTGAGGGGAGATTCAGGCAACTCCTGAATGGAGAGGATGTTAACAGCAGGAGCAGGATCTGCCTCTATCTGTTTTAGAGGTAATCTGCTGAGGCCATCTGCATGGCTCATTTCTTTTCCAGGTTTGTGAATCAGTGTGTAGTCATATGCTGACAGGATAATTGACCATCTCAGCATTCTGGGAGATATTATATGAGGGATTTGCTTGTTTGTAGTAAACAATCCCAGCAGAGGCTTATGGTCTGAAGTGGCAGCCATATAAGAAATCATGAAATTTCTCTATGCCAGCCACTATGGCCAAGGCTTCTCTATCAGTCTGGGCGTAATTATGCTCTGCAGATGACAGAGTCCTTGAATAGTAGGCCATAGGGACTTCAGGTGACTGAGTACTGCTCCCACTCCATAAGGGGATGCATCACATGCAATGCACACTGGCAATTGCTCATTGAAATGTGCTAAGACCACATTTGAAGAGAGCAAGGCCTTAACCTTATTGAAACTCTTTTCATGGACCTTAGTCCACTGCCATGGAGCCTATTTATCCAAGAGCCGGTATAATGTCTCAGCCACTGTAGCCTTGTGGGGAAGGAATGCATGATAGAAATTTAAGAGTCCCAGGAAACCCTGAAGCTTGCTTTTGGACTTGGGACTTGGGGCCTGCTGAATTGCTTGAAGCTTGGATTCAGCAGGATGGATGCCTTGAGCATCAATTCTAAAGCCTAAGAATTCAGTGGAAGTGACTCCAATTTTGCATTTATCTTGCTTCAGTTTCAGACCCACTTGGCAGAAATGAAGCAAGACAGCCCTTAATCTTTCAGCTAAGCTTAGAGATGACTCCCCAGCAATGAGGACGTCATTGAAGTAGGGACAGACTCCAGGAATACCATGGAGCGTGCGCTCCATTACACTTTGGAAGATGCCAGGGGCTACATTAACCCCAAACTGCAGTCTTTTGACCTTAAAGTCTCCCTTCTGCGTTATGATTGTTTGAGCCTAAGTTGTTGCCTCAACAACAGGTAACTGTTGGTAGGCCTGTACCAAATCAAGCTTTGCAAAAATTCACCCCCCCTTGAGGGAGGCCAGAATGTGATTTACCACAGGCACTGGATATGCATGCTGTTGCAGCGCTTTGTTCAATGTGCATTTATAGTCTGCGCAAATTCGGACTTCTCCATTAGCCTTTAGAGGCATTACAATGGGGGTTTCCCATGGCCTAGAGTCCACCGGTTCTAAGATGCCCTGCTGGAGCAGCTTGTCCAGCTCTGTATCAATTTTGCTTTTGAGAGAAAAAGGCACCCTTCTAGGCTTAATCCTAATAGGTGTGATAGCTGGGTCTAAGCATAGAGCAATGGGAGGCCCCTTGTATGAACCAAGCTCTGAGCTAAACACATCAGCAAACTCCTTGCAGACTTCTGCAAGGCTTAACGTTTGCAGACTGTGAAGCCCAGTCACTTGGATCCCAAGGGCCTCAAGCCAATCGAGTCCAATGAGACTCATGCGATCACCCCCAACTACCACTACATCTAGTAGGCCTTCAAAAGCCTTACGCTGCACTTTGAGCATAGCCTCTCCCTTCACACTGACTCTGGAATTTTGAAAGTCAGTGAGAATTAAGTTTGATGGCCTGAGTTTGACTCGAAGGCCACTGCTGCTGCAAATCCTTTTGAAGGTATCATGTGAAATGATCGATAGAGCAGACCCTGTGTCCAATTCCATTGACAAGGGAACCCCTTGCAGCTTCACGTCAATGCGAAGCTTTTTCTTAAGGGGCTTGTGTGTCCCTGTCCTTAAAATGCTCCTGCGCGATGTGCAGAAACCCACCCTCTGTTGGCAGAGGACCCTGGTACCTTTCTGAAGCACTTCTTCCTGAGGTTGAACCTTCTGGCGATCCAAACATATGGAAAATGGCGGAGCAGAACCTGCAGTCAGCTTGCTTGTGATGTCTTCTGCACCCAAAACACTGAGGAGATGCTGGGGCCTTGTCTGAACGCTCCCTTGGCCTTCTCTCTGCTGGCTGGTGCAGCCTGTCCACCTGCTCTTCAGGATCCTGCTCTGGATTTTTTCGAGTAACCTCTTGATGGACAGTCACAGTGGCTAGAGGTTTTCTGGTGAGCTGCAAAGCCTTCACAGCGCCACCCGCTGCTTCTTCCGCTGCAACCTCTCTCAAGGCATCTTGGAACGAAACATCTTCCTTGGCGAAGATCTTCTGCTGCAGCTCACGACTCCTTAGGCCACAAACAAAATGATCCCGCAGCCTCTCTTCCAGGTCCTTGACTTCACAAGGCCTTGCTGCTTGCCTTAAGGCAGCAATAAAGTCCGCAGCAGACTCAGCAGGCCTCTGGTCCCTCTGCTCGAACGTGTGTTGCCAAGCAATCACAGAAAGTTTGGGTTGGAAATGTTCTTTCAGCATTTTCTTCAAGTCTGCTTAAGTCACTGACTCCAAAAGTGCTGGGGCCACCAGATTCTCTGCTATGTCAAACGTTTCCTGTGTGCAGACACACAGCAGGGTATCCGCTTTAAGGCCATCTTCCCTTATCTGACTGACCCTGAAATAGTTTTCCACCCGCTCCACATACGAATTCCAGCGCTCCGGGTGTGCAATCTCAAACTCTGACAAGTGGCCAATCTTAGACATCTTCTGTAACTCTCATTAATGCCTTCGTTGCAAGCCTGTTATCTGGGGAAGGGGTCCCTTGGCTGAGCTCACCTCCAGCGATGCTGTACTGGCAGGCAGGGTCGCTATGCTGGAGGCTGAACTTCCTAGGACTTCTTGGTAAGTCCTCTCTTCTTCGTTGTTAAATGTGGCTTACAGTGATCCCACCTTCGTCGCCACTGTTATGTTTGCAGATTGGAAGCATTAAGAGGAGACACATCATGTAACAACAAGTCTTCTTTATTGTTCTCATCCACAACCAACAACAGTCAAAATGGTGCACAGGCCTTTTATAGTGTCCTAGCCCCGGACAACGTCAACCAATGATTGCAAAGGCTGTTTCCTGCCTTGCGCATGCGTGCAAGACTGGAGACAGGCAGTCTGGGCCCGGGAAGCTTTTGGTCTGCCTGGGACCCTTTGCAACATTTCTGAGCCTGCTGAATGCTTCAGCAGGCTCAGGACATAACAGCAGTGATGACATCAAAATGATTAAACATTCGTAACATCAGAGGACAAGTTTACTCTTTTATACCTGAGTTGCAAAATTGCATGCAAAAATGTAAGAGGCAGAGTTTGCATTACAATGCAGTCTGCCCTTTGCTTCCTTTCTATCTACGTCTGTGCACTCATATACAGTAACTGATCCCTCATATTCAGTAATTTCTTAAGTGGAAGCAATTATGGATTCAATTGGGATGCTATTTTAGCCCTTCCTAGAAAAACGAAGTAGTGTACACTTATCTTGATTGAATTGATGCATCTTTGATAAAGTTTCAAAAACAGTAGGTTGTTAAAATACAGATTATTGAAATCAACAATAGTATTCCTTAATGTCCATTTATTCCTATTTTTAGAATCTTTGATTCATGATCAACTTGGTCTTGAAAACCTTAAACCTGAAATTGAAAACCTGAAATTTATTAAATATTGTGGATTTCAACTTGCACTTCCAAACTCATGCATTTATGATCAGGTCGATGATTTAGGAGTGATGGGAAATTTAATTGGTTCATCTGCTAGAATACCTTCTATCTACAGATAATTTGATGAGATTCTTAATCTACAAGAGTTATATAATACACATTTGGTAATTTTTAACTTACTGGTCTTGCCATAAAATCCCCTCTGGTAGAGGACTGCTGATCTGAAGTCATGAGGACTTTTGAAGTTGTCTAGGATAAAAAAATCATGGCAATAAGGAAATTAATTTTTAAAGCATCAGTTAGCCCCAGGCTTCTCGTTTCTCATCTAAATTTTCCTACCCAACTAAATCCTAGTACTTTTTTTTTTAGAGAAGAGGAAATCCTAGTAGCTGCAATATTTATAAATTAAATTTTCACTGGTTTGAAATACTATATATCAGTGGTGGCGAACCTATGGCACGGGTGCCAGAAGTGGCACTCGGAGTCCTCTCTGTGGGCACACGTACTGTTGCCCCAGCCTCGCTTTCCCCTATGACCCCCTCCCTCCAGCAGTCCCCCTCTGCCAAACAGCAATGGATTGTTCAGCCAGGAACCTTGGATCTTTAGGGAAGAGGAGAATGCAAATACAATAAAAAGTTGTGGAGCAGAGGGAGTTTGTCCTCACTAATATAACACATGATGTTTCAACAGAACCTACAGTTCTGGGATAAAAATAAAGTAGGCATAAGATGTGAGTCTTAATCCTTTCCTGTAAACAGAAAATGACTAATTTCATACAAATAGAAATGGCAGGGGACGTGGTTGCTTTGGGAGCCCACAAGTACAGGTGCATGATTGCCCTTCATCCTATTCCTTGCCCCACATCTTTAGTAATGCTGGTGTTTTTTTTTTCTCAATTGGGGAAGAGATACTTTATGATGCTTGAGGAGATAAGAGGAGACTCTAGGTAGGCTGCTAGGTAGGCTGTGGCCTACTGTCGACTTGGCCACACTTAGTTGCTTCAGAGAGCTTCTGTGTCTGATCAGAAAGCCTCTCTATGTGATTCCCCTTGGATCTCAGAGAACTCTACATATGCTAATGATTCTTCAAAGTAACAGAAAGAAGCAGTAATGCTGACTTTTATCAAACCAAAATAAAACAAATCTATGGTTGAAATTGTTATATCTCACATTTTTGAGATGTGGGGAAGCCTTTGTGGTGATGCTTGCACATATTTGGATACAATATTAAGAAATCAGCCTTCTAAATGCACCAGACAGGCAAAATCCTAAATTTCATAACCAAAACTGCTTTCAGACATGCAGACTAGGAATTTTAGAAACTGTAGTGTCCACACTTTGAAATGGCACTAGATTGAGGAACAAAAAGACAGTAACTGCTGTGGCCAGTGCTGACGAAAAAAAATCCAGAACCCAACCCAAAGAATTGGATGTATCTGCCAGGGCAAGATTTGGACAATCTTTCTATGGATTGTTACCTGGACCGTTAGGAATTCAGACTCTTCTTCCTCTGCGCTGCCCTCAAAGAAGGTTGAAACAGGAAGGCTATTATCAAAAGCGTCTTCCTTTGTTATACCTGATGAACTTGTCTGGGGAAAAAAGGAGTAAGCTTGTAGTTATTTCTGATTAGGAATATTTGTTTATTGCTTTATATCTAGACTCTTATAGAAGTGCAAGATAGTACGCCCCTTATAATTTTATCTTTACAACAACCGTATAGTAAGTCCCAGCTGGAAGGTGCATTGTTCCTATTGAGTTTCATTGCAGGGTAGGACTTTCTGATTTTTTGATCCTTGATCCCTGTAGAAAGGAGAAATGAGGGGGGAGGATTTTGCTCACCAATTCAGGTCATTCTGCCACAGCACTCAAGGCTTTGTTGAGTCTGACAAGACCCTGAGTGTTGATAAGGCACAAGAAAAATGTCAATGTGAAATTGTGCAGAGACAGTGAGAAGGAGCCAGAGACTGTCACGTGATGCGAGAGAGCTGGCCTTGGGACTTTGGCCTCCATCTCTGCATCTAGAACATTCAAATTATCAGTGGCTGAGTCTCAAGTTTTCATGTGGGATTGGGGGGGGGGAGAATGTAGAAAGCTATGAGGCAGCTGCTACTAACTTAAGAGAAAGTATTAATTATGCTGTCTGTAACTGAAAAAAAAAATTGAGCAGTTGCTTCTTCCAAATAATTTACTACTGCTGCTACTGCTGTTGTTGCTACTACTACCTTTTTCAATGTTTAAGGCCACTGAATCAGAAAATTTTAAGATGGCGTCCAGAAGCCCATCCCAGTTTGCTCTGTGTTGGAAGAGAAAGAGAAGGAGAAGCAAACAAACCAGGTGTATCCAATCTTGACAACTTTTAAGTCCTGTGTACTTCAACTCTCAGAATTTCCCAGCCAGCATGTTAAAATTTCATAAAATCCTTACAGAAATATGAGAGTGTCATCTTAAATTTACTGAAACTATGATAATGGATAAACAGCCAATGTGATGTAATGTTCAGGAGCAGGACTGGGAGTTGGAATACCCAGGTTTGAGTCCTCCCTTAGACATGGAAGCTCACAGGAAAGACTTGAGCCTGTGATTCCCTCTTAGAGTAGGATATTTTAAAAAATATATCCCAGAAGAGCATAGGTGTCAAACTCGCCACATCACATGACGTGTTGCAACATATTACGACTTTTTTTGTATTGATGGAGCTGGGGTGGACACGGCCTCCATATGATGCAACTGGCCCATGGGCAGACAGTTTTACACCCCTGCAGAAGAGGGAAATGGCAATCTATTTCCATATAATAATGCCAAGAAAACTTTACCTGTCCATGAAGTAACCAGGAATCACTCATTGTTTCCACTCCCCAACATCCCACAATATAGGATGTTGGGCAACCTTTGTACAGCATTGTTACCTGGATCCTTAAGAACTCAGAGTTTGAAATTAGAATGGCACTGAAAAAAGTGATTTATGATCATTTTTCACTTTTACAACCATTTCAGCATCCCCATAGTCAATTTGATCAAAATTCAGATGCTTGACAATGAGTTCATATTTATGAAGGTTGCCGTGTCCGAGGGTCATGTGATCACCTTTTGTGACCTTCTGACAAGCAAAGTCAATGGGGGAAGCCAGATTCATTTAACAACCATTTTACTAACTTAACAACTGCAGTGATTCATTTAACAACTATAGCAAGTAAGGTTGCAAAATGGGGCAAAATTCACTTAACAAATGTTTTGCTTAGGAACAGAAATTTTGGGCTCAATTGTGGTTGTAAGTCAAGGCCTACCTGTATAATTTCCTAATGAATAAATCTTCACCTCTGAAATGCAACTAAAATAATCTATAATGAACACAAAGTAACCACTTTTCTTTTTTGCTTTAGTGGACAGAATTTAGTGGTTCTATATTCACCACTCTCATCATTATAGATTTTGCTTTTAGTCCTTAGTAATGTCAACTATTACTACTACATTCCAAAGAAGTTATGGAGGGAATTGCTCAAGTTACTTGCCCTCAGGGGGAAAAATATTCTTTCTGGAATGTATAATTCCAAAGAACTTGGTTGGTCTAGTGCAGGTAGGCAACCTTGGCTCTTTTATGACTCGTGGACTTCAACTCCCAGAATTCCTGAACCAGCCATGTCATAAAAGAGCCAAGGTTGCCTACCCCTGGTCTAGTGGTTAGGGCACCAGGCTAGAAATGTGAATTCTAGCCCTTCCTTAGTCGTGAAAGCTGGCTGGGTGACCTTTCGCCAGTCACTTTTTCTCAGCCTCATTTACCTCACAGGGTTGTTGTTGTGAGGAAAATGGAAAGAGGAAGATGTGTTGGATATGTTTGCTGCCTTGAGTTATTTGTAAAAATAATAAAGGTGGGATATAAATACATAAAAATAAATACAGAAAAGGTCTATCTGATTTATCAGCATCTATCCAATCTCTAATTTTTATGACTGTAAATACTACAGTCATTAAAGAATAGCCAACCTTGTTATTTTATTTTATTTATGTGCCTTAAGCTGGCACATGGTTATACACTCATACACAATTGCTAAAAGTAGTATATGTAAGGGAAAATAGCAATATTTAAGCAGAAGGTTGGACTAGAAGACCTCCAAGGTCCCTTCTAACTCTGTTATTCTGTTAATTCAGTGACAGGCTGAATGTTTTTCCATGAAGAACAGAGGTCCCCAACCTTTTTGGCACCAGGTACTAGTTCTGTGGACCGGAGGGTCCGTGGTTTTGTATGCTGCCTGCATCCCACGGATGGGGCTTTGCTTGTTTGTGCAGACCAGTTGCTGGCATGCTGCGGCCTGGTACTGGTCCACAGACTGGGGGTTGGGGACCCCTGACGTAGAAGATAGCAGATGCAATTGATGGTCATCTGCTTCTATCATTAGATAGAGTGAACTTACCTCCTCAACCATCAGGTGTTAAGAAAGGGGCAGGAAGACTGGTATGAGATACGGGATGAATTGTTATGGGCATTATGTAGTTTGTTTATCCCAGCTAAATTGTTCTTCAGATGAATGGGCAATAGATTTGACTTATCACTGTATACAGGTTCTGTTTGTGGATTGGGAATAAACAGCATTTTATTTTTGCCTCAGGTAACAAAATATGTTAAATGTTCATTTAGGACAGATTTACATAAAAGAATGTCGCTAAATCTCTAGTTAGTTGCTTCTCATAAAGAGGGCCTGAAGTGTCATTATTCAGGGACACTGAAACTAAATTTCTGAGAATTTCCCATGCATTAGGACTATTAGTTGAGATAGCTCTGGGAATTGCAGCCTCCCACTTGTTCTCTCAAACACACACACACACACACACACACACACACACACACACACACACAACAACAACACAAAAAAACAAGCCCAGACTGGGAAAGATGATCAAGGATGGGAAATTTTTAGCTGTCCAGGTGTCTTTGAAATAGCTCTTGGTCATGATTAGAGATGCTGGGAACTTTCGTTCAATGATATCAGAGGATTTCAAGCTTCACCCATGACCAAAACAACTACGTAGCAGGAATTATTTTGTGTAGATTATAGTATAGTGTGATGGTTCTGAACTTCTTGAATGTTAACTTTAATAATTACATGGAATGAGGAAATAACTGTTCTTTCAGATTAATTATTATAGAAGGGTGTGTTTTGATATATGCATCCTCCTTCTGCTCTTTTTAACATTATCTCACATAATGACATGTAACTTTCAGATTATTTAATATAAATAATGACTATATTTTCATAACTTTTGTTAGCAAGCAAAAGACTTGTAAAAGCTCAATGTGTCTTCTGCTTTACCCCCCCCAACACACAAACACTGCCAGATATTTTTTTGCCCATTCCTCAAGTGATTTATGCATTTCCCATCAACATACTCATAAAGAAGCATTTAGAGCATATCATATTCAAGTATTTAAAAATAAAGGACACTGAAAAGTTATATTTCCTATATGTTTTTTTAATCAAATGTGCAGTTTTTTGCTATGTGCTTTTGAAAGGCAGCACACAGAACTCTGGTCACCCTTCATTCCAATGTTACTATTCATCTTAGTTGCTGTATAAGTCAAGAATAAGTTATCATCTAACCCATAACCATATAACAAATGCTCACCAAATCCAGAATCTGTTCAGTAGTGGTAGCTTCCTGTGCAGTTGTATCTGGTGCATTATGAGTAATGGAACTACTTAGGACTGTAGGCATAGAAAACTGCTTCACATCAGTTTTTGCCTCTGAGAAAGCAAAAGGAAAGCAGATTGGAAACTACATGTTTATACTACCAACACATAAATGTAATTGCTCTGTTCCTGACACTGATTTTCCAAGAATGGAAGCAAGAAGAACAATAGAGAAGACACAATATTAATTACACATTTTTTTTAAATAGTTGAATTTCATCTTTCTTAGAGCTGACAACCAGAGTTGCAATAACCCTGTGAGGAAAGTAAACTAACGATTAAATTGTATGAAGACACTCATCAACAAGAATCTGAATCTGTCTTCCTAATCAACATTATGAATGTTACACAGCCTCCAGTTTTCTCCTGTAACTCAGCTGATGCACAACTTTCCCCATGCATAAAGCCTTATCTATTATTCCATCTCCTTTTATTCAGTGAAATTCAAATTCTGTGAATGAGTCATCTGAAACTGAAGTTCTAGGAAATGTGGAGAAAGACAGCCACTCTGATTTCAGGTAGCCTAATGGCCAAAGCAATCTAGATCAGCCTTTCTCAATCTAACATCTTTCAAATGTGTTCACTCCAACTGGAAAATTCTGCAAATTACAGTTCAAGCACAATTTGGGAAGGTTTTATTAGATACATTATTGCCCAACCTAGTGTTACTCCCATGAGCCCCAACCCATATTTGACTTCAAAACATTCTATGGCCCAAATAGAGTACTCTTTTAAATGGGCTTTTCTGGATTTTATTTGGCTTTCCAGTTCTTTCCACACAGAAATAAATTGAGAAATGGGCAAGGAAAAAAAACAAGGATAATCATACCTTTCCCACTTACCTTGTGGAATCATAGCAGGTGTGGTCATAGCCTTAGGATTTGCAAAAGGCCACCACTGGTACTGAGCAACGCTAGGGGGAGTAAGCCCCCCTAACAGCAAGACAAGGCAGAGGAAGCCCAATGGCTGGCTTCCCCTAAGAGTCTCCATTGGCCCTGCAGTTGTCTGCAGCTTAGCTGTCTCCACACTAACCTTTGGCACTTGTGATCCAAGTTCATATTATTCCAAGATGCCCGCCCACCAGTCTCTCTCTGCCAATCAGCATCTCATTTTAGAAGTCATGTACTGTGACTAAGTAGCCTTACTCTCTCCTCCCCCCCCACATGCTTGACAGAAGAGTAGATTTGTTGTTTTACTTTGCATTCCTTTGCATTTTGAGTCTCTATGTACAGAGGGGATGGGGAAGATTGATATCAAATTATATGGACTTATTTTGCTTTTCAGATCACCTTATTTATCTTATTACTAACTTGTGTTATTGTAAAGGGCAATGTCAATAACACATTATTGCATTTGATTCTCTATTTTTTTCAGTTCCAGAACCATGTGCATTGGCCACTTGTGAACTTTTAACTAAAGATGTATCCAATGAAATGAACTGAAGTTCATGAATCTTTATGATGCTAAAATATTATTTTTGATGAATTATGTTTAGTGTTGGAGTAATCATCCAAAGCAATCCACTAATTTGGATTCACCAGCTTTCCAAATATTGCAGAACCGTAAGTTCCAGCACTTCCCAAAATCGAATATTCTCTTTGAGGCTGACAGCTGTTGTGATTCAGCTGCACCTGAAGTCTGACAGACATCCTATCCTGCCTTGTCATGCAGCAGTTAAGATGTCTTTTATTTTAAAGCTTTCTCTTTGCCAGCTGATTAAATCTGTTGTAGAGAGCCAGTTTGGTAGTAGTAGTTAGGGTACTGGGCTAGAAATTGGAAGGCCTTAAATTCTAGCCCCACTTTAGGCACAAAATTAGCTGGGCCCCTCATTCTATTTCAGCTGTAGGAATAGCAATAGCAACAGTACTTAGACTTATATACCACTTCACAGTGCTTTGCAGCTCTCTCTAAGCGATTTACAGAGTTAGTTATTGCCCCCAACAATCTGGGTCTTCATTTTACAAACCTCAGAAGGATGGAAGGCTGAGTCACCTTGGAAGGAGGCAATAGCAAACCACTTCTGAAATCTTGCCCAAAAAACTGCAGGGACTTAGTCCAGGCAATTACCTGGAGTCAACACTAACCCTAAGGCACACAATTAAATAAAAAATAAAAAAACCCAGCTGTAGTAGAATTAAAATTTCAAAATGTAGAACTCTAACCTCAAACAGTTTAAGAGGACCACACATTACTCTTCTGAATTTAGTGTCTACTATATGTAAATGTTCTTGTATCTTTAAATGTTAGTGCATCAGGAAAACTTATTGTCTCATTTGGGTTTAAGGCAGGAGTGTCAAACTCACAACATCACTTGATACGTTGCGACATATCGTGACTTTTTTGCCATCGCCACCAATTGGATTGGCACGGTTTCACTATGATGCATCCAGCCCGCGGGCCAGCAGTTTGACACCCCTAGTTTAAGGCAATTACACTGGTAATTCTGAGTATGATTCACCTTTCTATTTCACAAAAACTCAATGAACAATGTTTCCTTGACTTGGAAATTTTGGAGCAAAAAAAAAAAAAAAAGGTTAACATTCATCAATAATGACGAAGTACTTGAAATGTGGGGCTAATAACAGACCTCTGACGTTGTTAGGCCAAACATTTAATTACTTAAAACCATCATTTCCATTTTCCCCTTTGCCTCTCTCTGATAAGTGCAAACCTACTAAATAATTTAGACTAAATACCATTCTTGGGCGTCAGTGCTGATAAAGAAGATTCCTGTGACACAGGGCACCACTTTGGGTTTTGAAAACAGCTCAAGGTTTCTTTAATGTGATGGAAAGAAGGAGAGCTGGAGTGTTCAGAAATTGTTTCCAAAAACTGAGGAATACCATACTTCTTCCATCAAAGTTTTTTCTGCAACCAGCAAATTCATATTTATCCCTATATAATGTATACAAATGTGCATATTAGTTGCATATGGATCAAATTATCTCTGAGGAAGAAATATGACTTGGCCTACATTAAATAAATGCTTGAAAAGGAAGAGAGGGCTCTGAGTGCCGCCTCTGGCATGCATGCCATGGGTTCGCCACCACTGAGCTAGACCGCTTTTGGGTAATCTGGAATTAATAAACTGGAATAATGTGAGATAAATGGTCCTGCTACCAGATGACTTCACAGTTAGCTATGAACATGTGATCCCTAATGAGGCTATGTCCACAGGGAGGGATGCATGCAGTGGAATATCTACAGGTTCTGTGCTGGGTAGAGTGCTCTTTAATATCTTCACCAAAGATTTAGATGAGAACATAGAAAAAATATTCATAGAACATATGGATGAGTCAAAGCTGAGAGGAACTGCTTGTACCTCAGAAAATAGGCTCAAGATTCATAAGGATCTTGATAGACGTGAATGTGGGGTCCTACTTCACAAGATGTTTAGTGGTGAGAAATGTAAAGTTCCGCACTTAGGCAAGAAAAAAGTGGTGCAGAAGTACAAGATAGATGGTACTTGGCTTACCAATGATACTTGGAAGAAGGTCAGGATGTTCTGGTAGACAGTAGATTAAGCATGAGGTAGCAGTGTGCTGCAGATAGGAGACATGATACCAATCTGTCAATACACAAAAGGATGTCTTGGGGAAGAGGTGTGGTTTTATTCTTCAGTACACTCACAGCTAAAGCAATGGACAGAAGATTAGAGAGCTAAACTTGAAATGAGGAATTTTTTGGCTATGAGAATAATTAAGTAGTTAACAGTCTGCTTCCTGAAGTTGGTTTGGGATAAAATAGATCTACTCATTTGATAGCTAAGAATGATGGAAGCTATAGTCTCAATACATGAAGAAGGTCCAAAGCTAACAGATTTTGATGTTATAGTTCACTATGATAATTTGTTTCCTCTTTTCCTTTTTTATAGTGTGTCTCATGTGGACATTTGTGAGAAGATAGATGGCCTAGTACTCAAGAATCCACTTTTTTTCTCCAGAATTAGCTTAATAGTGATAAAAGTGAGGCCCTTTCAAAGAAGAAAATTTACTCATATTTTCTTGAAGAAGAGTCTCTCTACTCGTTATATTAAAACCATTTGACCTTAGCCAGAGATTGGAACATTTGGTTATTTTTTTCAATTCAATATACAGTTTCTTACCTATGTGTAACTTGAAGGTATATTCAGAGCATTGCAAGTCTCCTAGCTGGTGGAATATGAGCAGCCCTATGTTGGTTTACTAGGTAGACTCTAATTTGTACTGAATAGAATGATGGTATGGTAGCAGAATAACAGAATAGCAGAGTTGGGAGAGACCTTGAAGTTCTTCTAGTCCAAATCCCTGCTTAAGTAGGAAACCCTATACCATTTCAGACAAATGTTTGTCCAATCTCTTCTTAAAAACCTCCAGGGTTGGAGCATCCACAAACTCTGGAGGCAGGTCATTCCATTGATTAATTGTTCTAACTGTCAAGCAATGTCTCCTTAATTCCAGGTTGCTTCTCTCGTTGGTTAGTTTCCATCTGTTGCTTCTTGCTCTGCCTTCGGGTGCTTTGGAGAATAGATTGACTCCCTTCTCTTTGTGGCAGCTCCTTAGATATTGGAATACTGCTATCATGTCACCCATATTCCTTCTTTTTATTAAACTAGACATACCCATTTCCTTCAAACTTTTTCATATTTTTAGCACTCAGTCCCCTAATAATCTTCGTTGCTCTTCACTGCACTCTTTTTTTAAATCTTTTTTTATACTGTGGTGTCCAAAGCTGGATGTAATACTCCAAGTGAGGTCTTATCAAGTCATTATAAAAATAGAAGCAAAAGTAATAATTGGTTGGGTTTCTCTCACACTGGCCGAAGTGTGACTGATCAATTTTAAGGAATGCTGCAGGTGACATAGATATGACCAAGGCTGGTCACTTCATCTATTTTTCATCCATCTTGCAAAAAAAGGTCATGTGAAAACCTTAGTTGATCAAAGCAATGATGGGCAGTGGAGTCTGATTTTTATGAATCTTTTTGGTACTAACATGACATATTGTAACATGCATAAAAGAATAGTAGACAGTAGACATCCTACAGTAGACATCCTGCAAAGGATGTAGGCAAAGAGAATGGAAAAAGTAAAAAGAGGCTATTGGCTGTTGAAAAAAACAAGGCTGCAAAAGTAGATGAACTAATTAGAGAAATGCTTACATATTTCAAGTTATTATAAATAAATTAGAAATGTTAATTTTTCATTAGATTTTCATACTATTGCATTTACATGATTCTTGGTGATATGCAGCATAAAATATTTGTGCTGATATTCTAATACAAATAATACAAGAATTAAAGCAACTTCAATAAAAATCAACTATAACTGAACAAACTATAAAATTCCAATACTATGTCTAATCAATAAAGAGAATATCTGTTATAGTTATTTAATATAGGTGTGAAAAGTATATATATATACATACATTCACACACACACACACACACACACACACACACACACACATATATATATATATATATATGTATGTATATATGCTAGTAGCAAGGATGGGTGCAAAATCTAGGAAGGGAGTAGTTTTTGAAGGCTGCTGAAGAAAATGCTTGGCAGAATTGTAATAAACAGGGATAATGAGCAAAGTTATTGGAACTGCAGTGCAGCTTTAGCCTTGATAAGGAATGTGCAGGTCAAAGGTTTGCTCTTCACCAAGTGGCTGAGAAATTACAAAATGAGAAAGTTTAACAGCGATCATGGAGAAAGTCAAGTATATTTAATGTCCCTTGATTGTTTAATTACATATGAATAAAATATAGGGAATGCTTTGGGAAGATGTTAGAAGTGTGTTGGTCAGGGACATAAATATTTATATATTATTTACATGCAATGCAGTGTTTTTGTTGGAGAAGCCAAATACCTGAATATGCATCCCAAGTAACAAGGAAGACAAACAAAGAGAAAAGTTATCTATCAAAAGAAGTAAAAAGTTATCTATCAAAAGAAGTATACCAGGGGTCCCCAACCCCCTGTCTGCGGACTGATACAGGTCCGTGGCATGCCAGCAACTGGTCCGCGCAAACAAACAAAGCCCTATCCACAGATGCAGGCAGCACACAAACCCATGCATTCTC